ATACACACTTCAGCTGTCTGACTCGGATTCCGTTTTGGGTTGTTGCAGTGAGAGCAGCGTTTATTAGTTTATGCGTTTCATGGACATATTGTAAAAATTTGAATTATTCTCTTATTCTTGTGCTGGGATAATTGTCATTATTTCCCACGACAATTATCTGAGCGAGAAAAAGGCAGCGAGAACGCACAGATATCAGCACTGATTTTTCAACAACTACGAATATCAATCAGCCTGGATCGAACAGTATGTCACAAAATAAAGTTTCCGCGAACAACTTTTCTAAGTAAATAATTACGATGTGAGACACATCTTGAGTCATGATTTAATTTCTCTGCCGAGAAATTAAATCCAAAATAGAGGTAAGTTTCGGTTTCGCTCCAGAATTAAAACGCGCATCCTTCCGTAATTAATACGCTAAACAGCGTTCTTGTTTTCAGGTTAAAGAGGTGACCTACGCTCATGAAACATTATATTCCTCGTATTACCAGAAATAATTTATGTCGCTCAGTGAAGCCAGTACACTAGACAGGCTCAACAGCGGCACGCATCTCTGACCCTCACTAAACCCGCCATCTTGGAAAATGAGTAGCGCCACCTATAGTTAGTTGGAGTCGCGATATTCGCGATATTCGCGACTCCAACTAACTATAGGTGGCGCTACTCATTTTCCAAGATGGCGGGTTAGTGACAGTGTTGTCAGATGTAGGGACATGTCCCTACTCGTAGGCACATTCGCGGTTTTTTTTACGCTGTAGGGACGTAGGGACGGTTTTTGAGTTTTCGAGGAGTTTGTAGGGACTTTGTGTGACAACCTTCGATTTTTTTTTTTTTTTTTTGTGGGGCGGGGGAGGGAGGTGGGATGGCGAGTGGCGCTTGTGCTCGCTCGAGTTACGGTAGTCCAAATGTTGGCCTCGGCTGAAGCGTTCTTTGAGGGGCCCGGCTGGCGAAGTCGCCTGTCGTCTTGATTATTGTCTTGGTTTGAGCCTATCGTCTTTATTTTATCTGCCTCGTGCGATGTGTTGTTGAGCTCAGCTGGGCGAATACCTCTGGCATCAGATTGCGCCAACCAACGAATTGTGGAGCGAACCGTCCCTGAATAAAAGCGGATAAGTCATTTTTCTCGACATTTTATATCAATGTTGTCTTTTGTATGTTACATATGTCACTACCGCAAAAACTAAAGAAGCTGGCAAAAATAAATTCTCCGTCATCCACACTTGTAGAATGGTTTGGGAGCAAGTTGGGCCCTGCAAAGGCAGGGCCCGGATTAATGTACGGGCTAAGGGGTCTGCAGCCGAGGGCCCCAGGCTGCCAGGGGGCTCCGTGGTATGTTATGCAATAAACACAAAATTCGTTGTTATACTGAATACCTGGATTGACTTCTATTTTTTTTTTGTCCTTTTACATACTCTAAACGACTTAATTTTCGCGAAGACCTAATTTTCGCGAACCGCTTACAATTCGCAAAAAATAAATCGGGCGAACGATTCCGGTAAAATGTAAACAAAATGAAATCTATATTGAGATCCCACCGCGTCGCAAAAATTAGAACCCGCGAATTATTCCAAAACTCCAGCTTTGACCTAAATACAAAATTCAATCGCGTGTATGTTAAAAAAAAAAAAAAAAAAAAGGGAAAAGCTAACTAATCAGTTGCAACGCGCTCACGGAGAGGTGCAGAAGGCAGGCTCGCTCAAATAAGCAAAATAAATAAAATACGGCTTTTTTTTCACCTGTAGGGACAGCCATAGGGACATTTGCATACTCGGGTAGGGACACAGAGGGACTTTTTGGCCTGCACGTGGGGACTTTCGGGTTCGGAAATCTGACAACACTGGTTAGTGAGGGTCAGAGATGCGTGCCGCTGTTGACAACTTTTCTTGGCAATGCAGTGGAAGGTAGAGGCCCGCGTCCCCTCTCCCATTTTGAGTGTACGCAGGCTCTCCTCCTCCCCCATTTCCGGGGAGAGGAGGAGAGCCCGCGCACACTCAAAATGGGAGGGGGGACGCGGGCCTCTACCTTCCACTGCATTGCCAAGAAAAGTTGTCGCGGAGTATTCGCGACTCCAGCAAAACGGACGCCGCCAAGCGGGAAAACCGGGAACCAGCCGGTCCAGGTCGCTCCGCGCCCCTCCGCGTTTCTGGTGGCTTTTGCGGAGACGTGTTGTCGGCGCGGTGGCGAACAATGTAATTTGACGAAGGTCCGAATATTTCTTAAGTTTGTTTGAGTGATCATTAGTGCAGTGAAGCCTCAGTAGATTGTTTTCTTCTATTACGTGTTTGAAAGCCCGTTTACTCCACAGCACACGGTCGCGTGCTTTCGATTTCTTGGATGGGGAGGAATCACGGAAAAACTTTTTGATTTCTTGTCTGTCTCGAATCACATTCAAAGTGACGACTGCTTGGTAACTGATACTGGAGGGAACATCAATGTTGCAGTCAAGTGAATGGGAAGGTTCGATAGCTGCTTTTCTTGAGTTTGGTTGTGTTCGGTTAGCTTCAAGTTTGAGCCACCCACGCCGGTCGGTGCGTTGGCTATTCATCTTGGCTGCTTTTCACCGAAAAAGCCTCTGGACCACACTGAAGGGGTTGGGCTGATTTCGCTATTACTTGATTCAGGAAAATTTGCTCGCTGCAAATGATGAATGAGGGAAATTATCTGTTTTCAAAGGTGGGAGACAAGTCTCGCAACGTTAGATGCTGTCACGGCATTTTGACCTATCGCGCCTCCAATATTTATATTACAAGGACGTCGAAGCCAGCAGCAATATATGTCTACATTGGTCAGGTTGACCGGCCACAAAAAAAAATACTAATTTTCTCCGTTCAGGATTTGAAGCAAAGTTCAATGCGGAGAGGTTCTGCGCAGATCTTCAATGAAGGCTCTCTTCAGTTTGTATCCGTGCTGCCGGCTATAGAACCATTTGGCCAAGTCTAAGTAATATGTCTCCGTCTGTCAAATATACTTTTATTCAGCTGCTCACCTAATAGCTAGTCAACTAAGCTCATATTTCAACCCGAAGAATATACTAATATCGCTTTAGTGGGACCCCCATAGTACGTAATATAATACATAACCCGCTCGTCAAAATGACGTCTCGATTGCTACTGAAACCTGAATCGAAATACGAGTATCAGCTGCTTAGTGGGGCGCCGGCGGGTTAACACGGCCCTTGGCTCAAGAAGCGGTTGCTTAATTTTCGTAATTTTCCTGCAGCCTGTGTTGTTGGCCGAGCAGACGACTGGAGCTGTTTTGTAAACGCGGATACCCACAAAAGCTCGATTTCGCGGACAGATAAGTCGCATGGTCGAGGCTTGCGAGTTAGCTGAAAAGTTACTCTCTGTGGAACAATTCTATTGTCATCTCCGCTTTCCTTAGATGATCAAAACTGATTAGGATATTACCGTCTCTCCGGAGCCCATAGTTTCGGTTTTGAAGGAAATCTCCGAAACGAAAGTTTGACACGAAAAGAACAAAAAAACACCGGCAAAACAAAACTATGCTTTGCAAGTTTATCTGCACCGGCTACACTTAACCGCCTCAGTTCAAATACCTACAAAATTGGGCATTAAACAAAAGAAAATCAGTTAAATTGAACGCGCCACCTGTTCAGGCGGCCCGGCCGAGCCGCCGCGACCTGGACTCAGCCGCCATGTTTGTTTGGTGGTGGCGCCCACTATAGGTCGCTGGAGTCGCGATGGCTTCACTGACCGACATAAAGTATTTCTGGTAATACGAGGATGCTAATGTTTTATGAGCGTAGGTCACCTCTTTAACCTGAAAACAAGAACGGTGTTTAGCGGGCCGACTCCTGGAACCCCTGGAACCCTGCGTACCACGTGACTCGCGCCGCGCTGCTCAGGGGGGTAAAGGTGGGTGAGGAGGAGTGACAAATCCCGTGCGCCGACACCCGGGGTCCCGAGTGAACGATCGCAAAAGAGAGCGACAGAACACGAGAGAAAGAACGCAACGTTGCCATGGTAAACGCGAAGAGTGAAAACTGTCAGCAATATAAACAGTGATAATTTAACGTTGTAAACTAAATTCTGAGCTATTCTAACGCTTATAAAAAGCAATAAAGTCATTACGCTGCATTAACTTCCCTTCTGTCGAAATCTCGGAAATCTGGTGGTTGCGCAGTTTCGTATTCCTCAACCGCGCCCACCCGCGCCCTAGAGCCACTAATAGCATCTTCGATCAACTCGCACCGGAATCGCCCTGAAACCAGCAGAGTGCACAGCGCTCCTCGGTCGTGCAGCGCGATGTCGGTGCAACATCGAGGAGAAACTGCGCCGCGCCGGTGCACCGCGGCGAGCTCCACCTTGCGTCACTTCGCGTTTTGTTCGTTTTTTCCTGCGTAGGTCAGCGCACGGTGCCCGTCTGCTGTCAATTTCTCCTATTTTTTTTTACTCGCGGATTTGACGGTCCCACAAAAATAAACATCGTGCACGTGATTGTCGATGGGGTCACGAAGCGGGTGACAATTCCAAATGTATATGTTGGCCATCATTATTGGTTCAAGAAAACGAAACACCACATAATAGCCGTACCTCGCTGTCATCGAAACGCCTCGCGCCGCTTTCCACGAAGTTCGTGCTTTTCGGGCGCTCATTGCCACCGCAGCAATCGCCGGTAATCGCGGCGATGGTGAGAAGCTCGTCGTCTCGCCGTCAGAAGACCCGAGGAAATCCTGCGAGGCGTGTTCGTTTTCGCAAGATCGCCATCTCGATAGTCTGCGCGTCTGCTACTCCCGCCATCTTCTCGATTCCCGCTCCTGGCCGCAATGCCTGATGGGACTGCCCCCCGGCGCACCGCCGATTTTCTTGGTGCGCGTTGGGGCAACGAAAAGCCGCACCGGGAGGGTGCGCTTCGTTGATCGAGGACGTCCGGTGCGCACCGGTGCACTTGATCGAAGATGAAGGGGCGCACCTCAGTGCCCCGGTGCGCACCGGTGCGGATGATCGAGGATGCTATAAATAAGCTTTATACCATATAACCATATACGCCTCGCAAGTGGGCTCATTTTCGTCTTCTGCGCATGAGAAAGGAGGCGCAAAGGCGGGAGAGGAGGTTGATGACGGTTCCGGCTAAGCTCCGCCCTCGCACATGTCGGGGAGGCCGGGGGGTAAACAAACATCGGCGTCGGCCATGGCGGCCGTGCGGTAGCGGCGACCGCGAGTCTTTTGTTTATTGTAGCCCGGTTAAAATTTGCCGAGTCCACAAGATCGAGCAGCTTTGTGCCCCTCACGATTCCTCCGTCGTCTGCTAGAAGCATTTCGAAGATTCCAAGATGAAGACGACGAAGAGCATCAAAAGAAGGCGCTTGCCTAGCCTCGCGATTGAAACGCCGGTTGCGCCGGTCACTACGAGACCGCCGCCCGATTGTACCGGTAAGTTGCCTTTTATCTTGTTCTTCCTTTACGAACACAACAGATTTTGCCTTCTAGCAGGTCTTTAGAAATCTTGTGTGGCGGAGTCCGTAGGCGCTATTAATCGAAAAACAGCCGAGAATGTGGTGTTTTCGCGATCCTCCGAAGCCCATTTTCGCAGGTGATATTTAGGAATTTCGACTCGAAACTGCACGGAGGCCGTATAAACTATGTTCCGTTTCATTTTAAATGCGATCGAAGTTAAATCTACATGGGCGAGTCCCGAGCTTTGATCATAACTGCCATGTGCGATCTTGCAGTGCGTTCTCGCGTTTGTAATTTTCTCTTCGTTCGCACTTAGATGAGACGCAGTATAGTCATACATCGTATTTGGTATAGTAGTTTCAATCTACGGTTGTAATCATGGCACTGTAGAAAAGCACAGAGCTCTAAACTTGCCACAAAAACGTGATCGTTTTTTGTTTTTTTTTTTTTTCAGGAATGAAGTTGGAATGATTGTCACATTACCCAGTATGAGTGAATTGCCAACGAAGTACCGATGCCGCCTTTCTGCAAAATGTGTTGCGCAGTGTATCTTCGAACCACATCGACGCTGTCAGTGTCTGACGTGTTTTTGTGTGTCGCTTGTCTCCTTTTTCGTTCCCATACCAAGATGAAAATTCGGATATCGTGCACTATCCAAGCCTAGCTAATGAGCGCCCCATGGAATTGACACGGGAGTAAACAATGGCTAACATGTACATATTTTTGTTTTGTTCGCTCAGCAGACTGGGACTGAGTGTGTAAGTGACAAACTTTCTAATATCATTTGTCATTTCTAGGTCCCAGATGGGCTGTTGACATCCAGAAACACTCCAACAGATGGTGGTCATACAGCGATTGTGAAGAATGTGAAGACAGTCCCATTTGGATCCACATTCTTAGTCCACTCATTGATAATCTTTCCTTGTTGCATCAATGCCCAAGTATGCCAGGCACTGAGCGACTACTCGCATGTGTTACTGATGGTGGCTTGCGAGGCTTCAGTATTGTCGCTGCAGATAGGGCTCACCCCCACACCAAAGCTGTTGGTGGTGTACGTTTCCATGGAATTGTTTGGTTGATCCCAATTTCCTAGAAGCGCCAATATTCAGTTTGGTGTGCCTTGCGGCTGAAGTAGATTCATCAAGGAGGTCTCGTCTCTTTCCTGGGGGCAATACCATGTCAGCTGCTTTGCATGAACCACTTGGAAACTGTTTGGACTGCTCTAAAGCACTTGTAATTGACCTTACCTGTTGTGTCCATGCTAATGCTGAAACGTAAAGTTCACTGAACCAAGTTTTACTAATGAACTAAAACAATCAGTGGAAAGGATGAATGGCTTTATTTGTTTTCTCGAAGTATACACTGTTTCATACATAATACATGATGCTGGCAACGCTACTTTCATTAGCAGACAACTTAGTCTACACTCTGTTTCACTATAGCTTGGTGAACTGTGGAGGCTACGGCTCCTGCGACCCAGTAAGAATGTCGGAGCGAGGCACATGGCAGCATGTCACAGGAGCGTCCGTGTCACCGCGCCAAATGCAAGGACCACCCACCAGAACCGGCTGTCGTATGCTCAGAAACCAAACGAATTTGGATGGACGTCCACTGCAGTAACATTACCGTCCGCTAGAGTAGCGAGGTCTTCAGTAACACTTTTATGAGGCAACCACATGCTCAATTTGCCCATGAATCTGTGGCGGGTGCTAATGCTAGGGCGATGTTTTGAGCGGAAATGGTCAATTCACGGCTACGATTGTTTGAACGTCGATCACAAGCCATGTTTTTCTCAAAAGTGTTGATCTATATTAAGTGTCGTTAATAAGTGACATATGTCTTAGTCTTTCTTCAGTGTCGTGTAGTGTTGCGGTCCGAAGGATCCGACGGCAACACTACTAAAAGAGGAAGAGAAAAAAAAAAAAACAAGCCTAGAACTATGTTTTGTCGCAGATGGCGCTCTTGCTGTGGCGATAACGAGGACTCGACCGTGGAGTGTTGTCATGTGCCTGGCTCCGATGCTCTTATTGGGTTGCAATGTTTGCCAAGTGACCGTGAAACGGAGTATAGTGTCTCACCTGTACACGCTATAAAACAAATGAGATGCCAGGTGTAGCCAATTTTGCAGCTGTAGCCCTTATATTATTGCTTGCTATGCTGTTTGGAAGAATACATAAAAAGATCAGCTTACAAAGCCAAGTCTAAATTTTTGCACTCTTGCATGTTACGAAAATAAAAGCATCACGCGTGAACACCAACATCTGTCTCTAAATTATTCCTTGCTGAAATGAAAAATAAATATACTGTGAATATGAACCAATACAATCTCAAACAGGTTTAAGAATGGATTCAATAAACAATTACTTCAATCTGCAAGCTTGAAATCAAGTATGCGTGTGCAATAAATACCCTGGTCTTTCGACTATCCCCGTTGACACTTGTTCTCGAAGGATAGGGACTTCGTCGATTTCACGGCAGTTCAAGCATTGGTCAGGCAACATGCTTGTGTTTATAGTTTCGGCTGTGCTATAGGAATAACAAAGGTGAGTTGTGTATTGCCGAGTCAAAGCAGAACTCTCAGGTCTAAAAGGCTTTTAAAACTGCACTAAAGCTGGTTTTGACTTTATAATTACATGACTCGAACATAAACTACTCACTTCACCAAGTCTAAGGATTCACAAATAATCTCTGAACATGTATTCTGCTTTTATCTTCATTCACTTATGAAACTGGTTGCGTATATAAAATATCCAATCAATCTTCCACACCTCCCCATTGCGAAAAGGAAGAGGGAGATTCGTTGGCTTTTTTTTCTCGCCAAAAAACAGAAAAAGAAAAGGAATAGGTTTCAATGTGCACATTACGTTGAAGTGGGACAGTTACGGAAACAAATTTTGCATCTTCAAAGTTCATGAAGTAGGCAGATTACTTTCAAGTCATAAGAGAATAAAGTCAGAAACAACTTCAGCTCGCCTTCAATCAGATTTTCCCTTTAGATCCAGGGACGTTTCACCTTCATAAGGTCATCAGTAGCAATTGGCATCCATTTATGACTCTGTAATGGTAGATGTACAAGCTTGACCTCAAAGTCGCAGTGCCCTCCTTTCATGTGCTTGCAGTGCGACCCCCTTGTGCACTTGGTCCCAGACGGTGAAGCTGGTGCTGGACAGGATGTCGTCCCCTGTAAAAGAGTCGTCCCAGTAGTCAAACGATCCGGTTACACCCTGAGCAGCGTATTTGGCCTCCCATGCCATTACCAACTTAAAATCAGTGAAAGCCTATTTTGAAGCAACAGAATGCATAAATGAACATGTCCATTCCATTCCCTTCGTACCGAACACCTGCCAGAATCCAAGGGATGCAAATCAAAATAACATTGCATTATTTGCTCTTTTGAGACTCGAACTTAAACCAACTCAAACACTACCACAATTTTAAAGCTGGGAACTTCGAGGACACCTCTCCATATACTGAGATTACATGGTTGTCCCACTCCTGGCTTGTCCTCATCCTGGCTTGTCCTCAGCAGGGTTGGCCAGCGTGTTCTCATACTCCTGGGTTTTTAGTCTTGGAAGTTAAAGCTTTGGTTTTTGTCATTGCTTGGTTGCTGGTAGATGCTGGAGGAAGCTCGTACTGTTACTTTGAAACATCAAGTTTACAAATTGAGCACTAACCCATATTGATGGCCAGATACAGAAGCTAGATTTGTCATGTCAAGGAGGTTGTCATAAAACAGTGGGCACGGGACTGAAATTAGCAACGGAGCGGGCGACCGAGGCGCATTCGGGAGTATCAAAGAAGACAAGGTGTGTGAGTTTTGCGCGAAAGCAGGATGATCGGCCAGAGATGTGAGAATGTGGCGTCGAGAGAACTTCAACCGTTCTGACTTTATGACTGTTATCTGAGCCACATTAGCCAGAAGAGAAGAGAGAGTAACAAGTGAACGACGCACTACGGCCGAGGAGGTAATTGACCAGGTTATTTCACCCAAGCACCACAGCAGTCATTTCAACGACCAAAAAAAAAAAAAACGTCCAAACATCAGCACAGCAATACCAGCAGCGTGCCAAGGAATCGGGTTGTGTGTATATTTATACAGTCTCAAACTCGATCTGCCTCGACAGGTGATGACTCTCCCAGCTGTAGATGACCGCTAGCCTGGGGATCTTAACGTGCATCACGTAGTAGTGATACACGACCGCACGCCGGTACAATGCTCATCCAGATTGAAACGGGCAAATGTGGGGCTTCAACACACAATCCTGGGTTCTGCAGTGCGAGCTTTCACTCTACATTCTCCGAGCTGGTGCGTGGAAGCCCCCTCGGCCACCAATCCCCCGGTGCCAAGGAATAACATATAATAAATGACAACGGTACAGTCGTCTGCAACAGGTAGCTTTTCAGTGCCTTGAGCAACCAGGTTGAGATAATGTGACACTTTCCTGCCATATGTGGCTTGCAAAATAGAGATGTATAAGTCATAAAGCAAGTAATATGAATTTTTTTTTTTTTACTAAAGATATCAGCATTTGTACTTGGCTTCCACAACTTCTGAAAGCTACCTCTGAGTGCATAGAGTGGTTTCTTCATAATCTTACCTCTATGGAGAACTTCCCAGCTGGTAACGGGGCCGTGAAACGCAGACCCCCTGGAAGTCGCACAGGCGCCGAGGGCATTACACGGGGCCTGCAACATGTCCTCCGATCCCGGCAGCCGGTGGATTCGCCCGGCAGCCGGTGGATTCTGTTGGAATGATGGGGTAGGGGGAACACAAGCACTTGCAGATTAACGGACCTAAGAAAACCAGTAGGCAGGTACGAAAACATGCTACTCGCCCCCGCAGCGTTTGCCTCACTGGCGCTTCATGGTGAAACAAATCAGCGGCGAGCGACTGATGGAACACGCATGGTTCATGTCACATGAGCGAATGACATTTTAGCGAACGGCGACATTTGAGCGAATGGACGTTTTAGCGAATAACGGGGGCGGGCGTTAACCCATCCGCGCTGCGCTTTCGCCGCTTCGCGGCGGATCATAACAAAAATGTGAACTCATTTGGCCCACCCGAAAACGCCGCTTTGCGGCGTTCGACTATTCGCTAAAGTGTCATTCGATGAAACGTGGGCGTTCGCTAAAACGTCATTCGATCAAGAGAGTGCCTCCCATCTGGGGTCCATATCACAAGAGCGAATGACATTTTAGCGAACGGCGACATTTGAGCGAATGGTCGTTTTAGCGAATAACGGGGGCGCGCGTTAACCCATCCGTCGCGCTGCGCTTTACGCCGCTTCGCGGCGACAGTCTGCGGCAACTCATTACAAAAATATGAACTCATTTGGCCCACCCGAAAACGCCGCTTCGCGGCGTCCGACTATTCGCTAAAGTGTCATTCGGTGAAACGTGGGCGTTCGCTAAAACGTCATTCGATCAAGTGAGTGCCTCCCGCGCGGTTCTCCGGGTGCCAGCGCTGCGGGAGATTGGCCTTCGAAAGCTCGGCAGCCCGTTCAGCTCGCCGAAAAGGGCTGTAGCTACACTTCGATGCTTCACGGAGACACCGAGTCACTTGCTGGCGAAAAAGGGTCTCCGTCAAAAAGTAGAAAGGCTCACTCGCGTCGCACATCACCGTGCTGACGTTGGGGGGACTCGCATCAACATCCGACCGCCGGAGACCGGGACGCATATTGGTGCTTCGTATGCTCCCAGGGTAAATTCTTTCGCGTCAAACGAAGTAACGTACATTTCGAGGTATTTCCGGTCTCTTTTTTTCGTATGCCGCGTCCTCGTTCAAGCAGTAGCAGTGGATTTCTGAGAGCCACAGAAAAGGCCTTTCGCAATGGCTGCGGAGAAGAGACGACACCGCTTTGTTTACCCCCGAGCTCCCGCCAGCTCCCGCCCGGAGTCATCCTCCAATCAGAGCGCGGCGAGGTGACGTCACGCCACCGGCCTGCGCGAAAGAGCAGACGGCTTTCCCTCCGTATACCCGGCTTCGCCCCACCGGCGAAGCCGGGTATATGGTTTAGTTTAGCGTTAACGCGAGGCCGTACATCTGCGCGCTATGCGAAAAGAAAGCTTCGAAAGGAACGCGAATATCTTTCCACCGGTAAGTTCGTGGATTGTTGAAGTTCACGAAACAGCTCTGATGATGTAACCGTGTTTGGGACCCCAAGGGTCTGCCCAGCCTGCCTGCATGATCCGCCGCTTGCGGTAGCTTGAATGTATGAGAAAATGACCAAAAATGGCGGACCTTTTCCTCTAGAGTTAGTATGTATGATCAGAGCCTGTGTATGATCTATGGCGCTGCTCTGTCGGCCATGTTGTCGGCGAAACACGCGGATCAAAGGATTGCGCTACTCTGCTCACACAGCCTTTTAATTTCTAATTAACCCTTTTAAGCAATGGCCAGTATTTATAGTACACTGAATGCAGAGAAAAACGTTTACACGAGTAATCATAAGCGTGACCAGCAGTTCAGCATTGACGGCTAGAATCAACCATACAGTGACTCTAGTGGCGACCAGCGTGACCTTTGTGACGTCATGCTTACGCAAAAACCGTATGAACGAGCACAGGAGCACACACAGCTTGTATGATGCCGTGCTGCAAACGCCATTTGTGTTAAACGCCATCGCTAATCGTCAGTCTTTTGGTACGCGGCAAATAATTCTTCTTAGGCAGTACCCCACCAAAACGTAACCACGGTAAGTTTCAAAGCACACTGCACGCGCAGCCATACAGCAATCATCTTAAGTATTATTTCGCCTAGCTTGTGTCAGTTTATAAGAATAGGCTTAGGGAATACGAGCAGCGCGATAAATTAGTTCACGGATTCGTTTATTTGACGCTTAGGGAGGTATGTTTCCGAAGAACGGCGATCTTTTTCAGCTATAGTTATGAATTGACCTTGGGTATATTGTATATTGTGTTGTAACAACACGGCACTAAACCCACACAGTACTTACCTGTGTTTCTCGCCTCCCCCGAACATTGCTTCGTTAGGTAGTACTCGTCTGCTCCTCGAGAATATTCGCGTACTTCGCTAGTCAATGCTCACCTTCTATCTATGTGTGTGTGTGTTTTGCCGTACTTTATCTTCAGTTTTGTTTTTGGCATGGGAACATTGTGGGCCCTTCACGCTTGGGTCTTCGTGCTCAGTACGATAGTACTGCGACGGTCTAGGTCGCTTTAAAGATTTCGGTTATTGATATTGGCATTTATTTCGTAGTGTCTAGAGTGCCGCTAACTATATACTCCCTTACATAAATGTCTACTACAGTACAGTCTAGCCCAGTAAAATGTTTGTACGAGGGCTCTTGCTTTCCAAATCCACGCGCTCGGTCCCTTGACTTGTTTGCACGGCAAACGTTTCTGAGGGGAAGTATGTTGTGTGGTCGTTATAAATCTTACGTAGCAAGTGCGATAAATTATGTTATACCGGGAGAGTTTAGCTTCTTTTTTTTTTTTTGTATCTTTTTTTGTCTAGGGATCTGCATATTGGTAGGCAATCCGCACATTTGTTTCAGGTGCAGTCATGGCCAACTGCAGTCTTGCTTATCGGTTTAATTTTTGGCTTTCGTATCGCACCAAACGCTGCTATGTATTCGCACCGACCTTAGAACATCGAAATTCGACAAGCTGCAGTGACAGAGTTTTTGGTCGAAGCCTGCATGAACGAAGCATATGGGGCAAGTTACTGAAAGAACCTCAACATGCAACACCCTTTTTTTCGGTTTGTATAAGATACAAATCTGAGGAGTACACGTAAAATGAACAATCTACGAGAACTCTCAGATTATGAGGACTGACTTTGTGATCGCGAAGGTTTGGTAAAATATGGTACAGCTCTTCACATGCAAAACAGCTTTGTGTCCTACTTTGCCAAAAGTTGTGGAACATCTTTGTGTCCTATGTTGACTAAAGATAAAAAAACAGCTGTAATTACTTTTTGTTGCACTTGTTTTATGGTTTAAATTTGTTTTCTCTATGATTATGATTATGTGTAGCACACATGAAATTGCCAAGGCTTTTGTGTGTTTTCATTTTTTTATTGTGTTTACGTTATGTGTATAGCTGTAAAATGAGGGGCAGAAGTCGGGCAGAAGTGCCTTTTGTTTCTACCTCCCTTCCAAGCTTGACCCGAGAGAATCCACAAACTTCAAACTTTGGTCGCGGCAAGGCCTGAGATGATAGTTTTACAGAAAGAATGACGTATACTTTTTCTGTTCTTTCTGTGCAGGAATACCGACTTGTGCTCCGGGAAGACATGTCTTTCCCGCCCCATCGGCCGCCCTTGGGCATGCCGGGCATGCCTCCCATGTTACCACCGCCATACTCCATGCCTCATCACATGGGTAAGGTCCCCCTCCCTTTGTCTTAAGGCATTGGAATTGCGTCGTTCCCAACGCCGGAGGCCTCTTGCAGAAATCGGAAGGCCCGAAACTGTGATTTTTCTAGTTTTCTATATTGCCCCGATTTGTACAGTCTCCACCACTATGAAGGACCCATTCGGAGCGCACGTCCAAGTCGGTGGCCGAGTCAGCTCGCGCTTTGGGTTATTCCCTATCACTCTGAAGGAAGACAAGGTGCTTTCTCTGTGTCCGCCGATTTAGTTTGGCAGCGTTATCGAGTTCTCTGCTCGGAGTTGCATGGAACCATCTATAATGCCTGCCATGCTTCTTCCACCAGCCACCATCTTGGCTGTACGCTCCGTGTGGGTCTTTCATATTGACGGAGGCTGTACCGTCAAGAAATAAGCTGCTGCAGACAGAGTACTCCTTACAGTGCCCCAATTTTACAGTATCCGGGCACTGTAAAGTTGGGAAGAAGTTGTGTATAGTCTTTTGCCCAAGATTTTGGTGCTTATGGGAGACGTTAGGAGCTTGGGTTTATGAAAACATGTATGTGCGTATCTTCGAGTTCACTGCACTTTCTTATGCACTTGCAGCTGGAATCAAAAACTAATACCAGTCTCTTATATATATATATATATATATATATATATATATATATATATATATATATTTTTTTTTTTTTTTTTTTTACCATTGCATGTAGACAGGCGCTATCCCTGTCTAGTGATTTACGAAAATTAGTGTGTTTTTAGCACTGGTGAACTCAAGTTTTAAAGGAACCTGCTCATAGTCCCCTTACACTACATCATACATTATAGAAAATATGCAAGACACAAGGTCCTGACCTTTTAAAGTAGTTCTGCGAAGATTCCCTCCACTTTCCTAGTGCCCTCTGCGGCCGCCAAGTTTGAACAAGAAAGAAAATTGGTGTACAAGTGACTGTCCATAGAAAGCCTGTTGCTGTTTTAGCTGTTAGGTATAGCGGGTACATTCTCGTCAAGAGGGGGAGAAAGCAATAAAGAGGAGTTTCTTCTCGGGCGACCCTTTACCAAGATGTTTGTCTGCCTTGAGTAATTTGTCTTTTAATCGACGCATTCGGTATGTTCGAAAAGCTACCTTCATGTTGTATCAGTAGAAAGGGTGGTGTGTTCCGTGTGCCATCATTGCCGTCGAATCGCGCTACATTTTATTGATGAAATTCTAGCATGTGAGGGAATAGTCAGGATAAAAGTATGGCTTTTTTTAGGAATGCTAATTTTTCCATCTCACTTTTCTTTTTGTGAATTCTATTGCAAGGGGTGTGCTTTTGTGCTTTCTGCTCACTTTCCTCTGCCAATACTGCTCTTTGTCCTGACTAATGTGTGCTTTTGCACTGCCTTCCGTGCAGAGGAGGTGTTGAATAATAATTTAGGTCAGTAGCCACCAAGACATCCATTTGCATGTTTTTGTCGCCTGGTTTGGTAACTCCATTTGCTGTCCTCTCCCCTGCCTCTTGTGCTGTCCCGTAAAATGTTACCGCTCAATACATGCAAGTGCACACTGTGCTTCACGGACTGTTTACTCGTAAGCCAAGGCGTCGAACCCTCTTGCAACGTCTAAATGTTGCTTTAAGCATTTAGCTACAAGCACGATCCAAAATGTCTCGTTGAAACATTTTTGCTTCAATTCATCTTTTTTTGGCTTAGTTCAACTCTTGCAAGCAAAGCAATGTTTAGTCCTTTTTGAAAAATGAAAAGCTTCTTAGATCTTGTTTCTTGAAAGATTGAACAGTGTTGGTGCGCTCCAATTTGGAACCAGAACCCTATACTTAAACTATGGTTTTGTAACATTTTAGCAGCTTGCGTATTAATTTATTTTCATTCTAGTATTTCTTCAGCCTCTTTTAAGACCAGCATGTGTTTGCCGACTTGTGGGGTCTTCCCGTTTTTTTATTTGGCTCCGCACACTCCCAACTTTAGAAGCATGTGCATGGTGCTGAGAGTACATCCCTCTTGCTTTCATGACGTTCCTCACAGTTTGCGATGCCGGAGTGCTCAAACCCTGCAGCTGTCTTCTATACTTCGTTTCACCTTCCGTCCGAGCGCGGCCGATGTTGTGAGCCGAAGGGCCAATCAAACAGCGCGAAAAGCACAACGTCATGGCGTGCTCTCTGCGCTTGATAGGTCTAGCCGGCGGAGGAGCAGTGCACAGAGAGACGGCGAATGCCGGCTGGTCCTATCAACTGCAGAGAGCAGGCCATGACGTTGTGCCTTTTTCGCTCATTGGCCCTTCGGCTCATAACATCGGCCGCGCTCGGACCGAAGCTGAAACGAAGTATAGTTTTTCCTTTAAATGTTGACATTTTATGCTCCGGTCTCATTGTCGACGTGCCTGGCGATTTCGGACCAGTCGGCATGATTGACTCAACTGCATTTTTCGTGTCTCACATTTTATACGTTTGTTGCATTCCTTTGCGAGCTTTGTGCTCTCTATAATCAAGTTTCCCATTTGACCCGATCTATATGGGCTATCGATCAGGGTGCCATTCGTTCTCGTGTAGAGCGCCTGGAAAGTTGCTGGAAGTGAGTGAGTTGTTTGGTACCAGACGAAACGTGGCAAGCCTACACTATCCACCGGCAGGAATCGACGCGAGACACTCAATCCACTCGGACACGCTTTCGCTACATCCCTTGCATGCTAGCACGAAAAGCTGCGCATCAATTTCGTTACGCTGTCCAGAGTCTTTGCCAATGTTGCTTGGTGGAAAACGACTTTCGTCGGTCTCGCTAGAACGGGCATTCGGTTTTGAGAGCGCACGCATTTGGATTGACCACAGGACGAGTCGACGGCCACTGCTGCTGCAGATGACGTATTTCTCTCTCGGGGCGTCGACTGCTCACGCACAGAAGGAGTGGATGCAACAACGCCTGGCTTTGTTTAGTTCCTCACGCGCTTGTTAATGCATGCGTTACTTAGCTATTTGTGCATCGAGCCCAGTTGCAGCGGGCGAGTAGTCTGTCGACGTGGCCGCGGGACGAGTCGGAATGAAAATGTCGCAGTCACCAACAGAGCGAGAACGGCAGGGCATCTTTTTTGAACGCCAGCTCTCCGGGATGCACTCTTGGCCTTCGATCGAGCTTTGGCCGCGCGTGCATGCTCCAGTACGGTGCCTGGGGTGTTTCTCCTACTGGTGTGTTCGTCATCCCATCCCGTCCGTGCATCAAAAGTGGTCCCGAAGCGGCAACAAACAACGTCACAAACGCCGGAGCATCCCGCCGTCAGATGTCGCAGTCCTGGTGGTCGATAATAGAAATGACGACGAAAACCATGAACAAATGCAACCATCGCCGTCGTCGCAGCGTGCCAACTGCCAACCGCCGAAGCTTCCGCGGGCTGTCAGACTGGAGAGCGACCCGCAACAGAACGGGTGTTTGCCACATAAACCACCGCCGCTTAGACACCGCCAGGATTGAGACTGGCAACAGAAAGTCACTCCTGTGACGTCGCCGGGCGGAAGTCGAGGGGCCACTTTTTTGGGACACAGTAAACAGACCAGTTTGAGACACGTTCCAGGCACCATACTCGCAAGACACTGGAGCATTATTAAAAGTAGGAGGGTTGTGCTGGAGGCGGGACAGCCGAAGGACTTCCCCACCGGTCTCGTCCTGTTGTTCACGGTTCTCGGATGTTTGAACCGAATGCGACTGCTGGCCCGGAGGGACTATGGAGCACGATAGGACTCCCTCCCAGTGTTTGCAAGCGGTTTCCGACTGACACCTTTCCCTTTCCTCGCAGTGGCGGGAGGCATGATACCGATGGCCATGGGTGTGATGCCTCCGGTGAGTATGCAGAGGGCTCCTCCGGGGGAAAGGGCAACGATAGACGGTAACGTTCAGATGGGCCTCTCATTTGACGGACAGATGATGACGCACGTGGCCATGACGGTGCCCCAGTCAATCCCAATGCTGGCGCAGCCGCCGCAGCAGCCTGTTCCGCAGTCGCGCTCGCAGGGCAAGCGCGGCCACGGCTCAGGCGCCGGGGGCGGTTCGGCCTCGTCCGGTGCCGTCATCGAGAAGAAGCCCCTGGTGCGCCGGAACCAGCCCTCGGTGGGTGGGCCCTCCTCCTCTACCCCCCTCTTTCCCTGTCACTTCCACCCGATTGTTGTCACCCTTCTCCTTGATGTCGACACCCTCGCAGTAAATCAACGTTTAGGGCTTGTTCGCTTATTTTCGTTTGGGTGCGATCGACTGCGTCGAAACTGCCTGTGGCTGCTTACGACGAGAGTATGTGCTGGAACACTTTCGACCTACGTATAACTAGACCGAAGGTTTTTGCAGTTTTCTTTGAGATGAAATCTATGCACTTTCGACGAGAAACGGTCGCTTGTGACATTGTGAGAATTGTTTCGAGCACGCAGTGAAAGTAAGATGCATAAAAAATGTATACTGTGGGCGGAGCGGAAGTGTTCCAGGGTTGCCTGATAAGATGGCACAGGTGTGCTCTTTCTCGTCGTAATCGGTTTATGAAGCCGCCATCTGCTGGTTTTGAGAATAACCGTGAAGTGTGTAGGATCCCACTTATTATTTTTTTTTATAACATGCTTCCATAAACTTTTTTCTTTTAGGGGCGAAGCTCCTTAGGGTCTAGCATTGTCGAGCGTCTGTGCTCACATCGATTGCCATCTCATCTGTCTTCTTAAAAAAAGAAAAAATGTTTGCGCAGTCGACAGGATTCGAACCTGTGCGGGGAGACGCCAATGGATTTCTAGTCCATCGCTTTAACCACTCGGCCACGACTGGGGGATGAGTAGGGGGCTCTAAGATGTGGTAGTAACTTAAGAGCTGGGGTTTCTGTCATGGATGAAACGTTGCATGTAGCCGCTCAACGTCTATATAGGAGAGGGCGCTGCGGTCAAATGCTCAGATGCGTATATAACCACGTTCCATACCACATATTCTCTTTCTGACATGGATGAAAACGAACGAAAAGCTCGGCATGCTGCGCCTCAGCGTATCGGCACCACCAGAGCTTCGCCCCAATCAACATCATTCACCACGTGGAGATGCTGTCATGTTTTTTTTTTTTCTTTTCTTTTTTTAGTTTTATAGTTGTTTAAATGTGGCATATTCACAGAGCGTTGCGCCCCGGAAGATCGCTTCCCGACGTGATTGTTGTTTTCTGTTGCGTCCTGTGCAGCACGAGAACTCATCGAAGGGGCCCCCGGTGACAGTCTTTGTGGGCAATATCACGGAACGGGCGTCGGACAACCTCATTCGGCTCATACTGCAGGTAGGGGGTCACTTTGTCCGAAACCCAGTCGAAACAGAGGTGATGAAAAATCATTGGCTTGACTTGTGCGTACCAACATTCTTCAAAGACACGTTGGAAGGAGGTCCGGAGTTATGAGCACCACAGAACGTTTTCAAACAAGATCGGTGTGCAGTGCTCTAATGGAAGTATAAAGCTGGTGTGCCAGGGTTTCATTTTGAGGTAAAATACCTGCCAGCTTGTTTCCGGCAGCCACTCAAATAACATGTTTTAATCTGTGTGCTATGGGGGTATAGTCCCATAATGATTGTGAACCTTCAATTAGGAGACCTAATGTGCATTGTATGGGCACCTTACTGCCTCTTTTTTTACTATTCTGCTTCTAACATAACTTTTTGAAATTTGTACTACAGTGGAATCTCAATATTTTGAGCCCGAGGGGGACCAGAACTTTGTTTGAATAATGCAAAGTTTGAATTACCGGGAGTTTCCTTCTTAAAAACTCATAGGACGGGACCTGCATGTTAGTTTGAATTATCCGCGAGTTTGGATTAGGAGAATTTAAATTAACAACATTACACTGTACTTGTGCTGAGTCTCGCTCTTTTGGTCAGAAAAGCCGCCGCTAACCTCGAGTTTTGGGACATCCGCACTATCATTCATCATAAGTTTTTTCGTTTTCTTTTGTTAGTGGATGCTATTTTGTTTGAACCTTGAGGTTACAGCGCACAAGACAAGGACAAGACGAGAGACGCGCAGAGACAAAGACAAGTAATGACTTGCGACTTCCTTGTATTCTTCTTCTACTTCCTCTTTATGAAGCTAGTTTAAATAAGTTTTTTTGAAGAGGAAGTAAAAGAATTCAAAGGAGTTGTGAGTCAACGCCTGTGTTTGCCTCTTTGTGCGTCTCTCGTTCTGTCCTTGTCTTGTGCACCTCAAGATGAATCACCAACTCGCCCAAGCTTCCGTATTAGTTTGCGCCATGTGTGCTATGCCATGGTTACATTCAAAAGCTCCCATTTTGTGTCTGTCCTTTTTCCCCAGTTTATTGTTTTCCTCATTGATAACTTAGGCTGAAATGAGCCTTCTTGATGGGTCTATGTCGTTTTTCATTTTAGAGGTGTGGATCGGTGGTCAATTGGAAAAGAGTTCAGGGGGCAAACGGTTGGCTTCAAGGTGAGTGTCCAATCTCTCGCCTGTGGCTCTTGTGTCACGTTTTCTTGTTGCTTCGGTGCCACTGAGTTGCTGGTCTGTGCAGGCTTTGGCTTCTGCGACTATGGGGATCCTGAATCCGCCATGCGTGCCATCAGAATCCTGCACGACTGGGAAATTGGAGACAAGAAGCTTGTTGTAAGCTCAACTTTTTTTTTTTTTTTTTGTGTGTGTGTGTGTTATTGTAGGATTTGTGGCACCTCCACAAATTTTCATGAGGTCATTGCAAAGTTGGTTTCCAATGTTCCTCCTACAACTTAATTTTTGTGGGTACCTAGATATGTGTACATTTCAGAAAACAAGATTGCCAAAAATTCATCCCATCTAGCAAAAGAATTTGTAATTTGGTAGAATGAGTGACAAGAAGTCGGTTCCCACAAATTTATTTGGCTTCAGTCGCCGACCGATTTTTCATTTACCATGATGGAACTTAACCCGAGACTGGGGTGGAAACAGAAACTTAAAAGTAGAAGGGACAGAGACAAGTGAAGAAGAGACGTTCTCTTCTTCACTTGTCTCTGTCCCTTCTACTTTTAAGTTTCTGTTTCCACCCCAGTCTCGGGTTAAGTTCCATCATGGTAAATATCCACCAGCTCGCCTGCACTTTAACCGTTTTTTCATCAATTTTTCATATTTTGCTGGGACCGAAAAGTATTGGAATAATAGAACAGTCCGAAAAATTGTCAGAATAAAAAACTTGCCTTTACTATGTCGAAGCGGGCTTAAGAAAGCCGTAAATAGTGCTTTGCTTCAGGTTACGCCTGTGCGCCCTGTTTCAAATTACACCTCAGTTTGCGTTGGCAACTTTCTACTAGCTTGGGAATCGCTGCCTTCTTTTCTAGTGTTAGGATCGGCGCAAGTCCACGACTGCAATGGCAAATGAACAAAGCAAAATAGTAGCAATAATGATGATGATAATGACGTGTAGCTAGAGAAAAGAAGCCAAAGAAGAGTCACTTAGCGGTAGGACTTAGCAGACTCAAGTAGTGCTGCCAAACCAAGCCAATTCATGTACAGGCAACATAGAATCCAGAACGGCCGCTCCTTGGTGGTCTTTCCAGCCAATCGCTCGCGCCGATTTTGTCCGACAAATATAACTTCCAGACTTCAAGCTGTCGGAAACATTGGTTGTGAATATGCATTATTTCTATCGGGTAGGTCACGGTACTCCTTCAGGTCCGAAATACTGAAAAAGTCAGAACTACCGGCGTCCGAAAAATTGGTTGGTTATTGTATCTCTGAATCCAGTACAGTCTAAGCTCGTTATAACAGACCTTGATTTTGACCAAGATTTTGGTCTGTTAAAGGAGTATGTTTATGCAGATATGAAGTTGAGTTAATGGTGCATAGAGGAAAACCAATCGAACTTCGCAAATCAGTATGTTATATCAAAATGTCTGTTGTAACCGGGTCTGTTATAATGAGCTTAGACTATACCGTAAAGTTCAGAAAGAACGCCCACCCAAAATGAAGAGATAAATGGTAAAAAACATGGGGTGGGCTACCTTTGGGGATGCCACAGCAAAACTTCATCAAAAATTAATGATAAACACCTATGCACCGGCCACAAACCACTCGACACGGGAACGCAGATTGCGAACACCTCAAGGTTGTGTTTCACAATGTCATAAACACGCGGGAATTCGCTACGAACTCCTGTGTCGCGAGAAAAGAGGCTGCAGGTTGTAGACGCAGCAGATTCGCGTTTCATGGTACAAAGGACCCACGGAAACCCGCCAAGAACTCGCATCTCACGGGAACGAAAATGCAAATCACAGACACGGCAGATTTAAGTTTTACGGTGCAATAAACGCGCGGGAACCCACTACAAACTTGCCTGTCACAGGAACCTAGATTGCGGACAAAAACGCAGGAATCTGCTGCAAACTCACGATGACAGAAATGCAGCATGACTGCCCCCATAGTCACGCTAAAGGAGACCATGACCTCGTATTATCTCCTCCGTTGAGAAGAAAACAGGCTCCTCTCGCAAAGCACTGCACTCTTTTCATTTTAGCAGAGTTATTGCTGGAGAGGAGGAATGCACCAATCGCAGCACGCAGAATGCTTTGCGGGAGGGTCTTGTCCCGCTTTTTTCAGCTTGTCGCAGAACGGCTCTTTCCCTCGCAGGTGAAAGTGGACGCCAAGACAAAGGAGAAGCTCGACGAGTACAAGGCAAGCAAACGGACCCCACAAAATGGCGCCGACCCGGCTGCCGCCGCCACCCCGGCCGGCGCCACCCCAGCCGGTGCCACCCCAGCTGGTGCCACCCCGGCGGCGGGAGAAGGCGGCGCAGCAGAGGCAAAGCCCGCCGCAGACGACATTGATGAGGCCACCTGGCGCCAGGACAGGGACACCCGCGAGTCGATCCTGCACCTGTTGCGCTCCCACGCCGGAGAGCTCAACCGAGGCGGAGGAGGAGGCGGTGGCGGCGGCGGCGGAGGTGGCAGCGGAGGAGGAGGAGGGGGCGGAGGTGGAGGAGGAGGAGGAAGTGGCGGCGGCGGAGGAGGAGGTGATGGTTCCTGTGAGTTTGGATTTGGGTGGAGCGCGTGTGCGTAGTCAGCCGTTTCACACACTCGAGATTGCTTACGAACGGAGTGGATCAATCCTGGTAATGTCATGGTCGGTCGACGTCAAATGCAAGTGCATGGAGCGGCCTGGATCGACTGCGTGGCAGTGACTCGTAATATGTCGAGAAAGCACGCTGCCGCCATCTGTCGGGGAGTCCTGGAAGCACTTCCGATCTGCTTATAACTAGACCGAAGGTTCTTATAACAAGACCGAAGGTTCTGCAGTGTTTGCGAGACAAGGTCTATGGGAAATGGCCGCCTATAGCGTGGGAATTACTTTAAACCCATGGCAAAACGACGATGCTTAAAATAATTAGAAAACGCGCAGGTTGGAAGTGTTTTCTGGTCGTAAGCGGCCACAAGCGGTTGCAACGCAGTCGATCGCACTGGTGGCGCAAGCAGCTCTCCCATTCGGTGCCGAGTTCACCACAACGAAAATTCGGGTTACAGCTATTGACACACGGGGCTGCTGTCACCTTTGAGTTCCTTTACTCCCATTTCCCGCCGACAATTTCGCACGATGCCGGCCGTATTCTGGAATACCACCTAGTAAACTATTCCGCTTAAAGGTGCAACAATGTATAGTGGAGAAATCTTAGACATAAAATCTGATGGCAGTTTCGCTACGGTCGTGCAGTGATGAGCATTGCTAGTAACCTGTGAGAATCTGGTGCCTAATTTTTTTTTTCTTTTACAGCAGCCAGGTCTCCAAGACAGTCTCGACGCGACAGCCCCGACAATGAAAGGGAATACAGGTCGAGCAGAAATGTAAGTGGAGTGTTCTGGCCACATGCTGCCGTCGGGTTGTGGAGTCACAGGAGAGAATCTGGAATTACGTACTCGTGTTCATGGAAGGGTGGGTCGCACAGCCCATTGTGACTCGCCTTCGTGCCGCTTGGTGCCGTTTTCTGACGCTTACCACGAGGTCTACAATGTGCTGCAACAAGCCTCGAGCAATTGTTTCCTCCTTCTCTGCTTGCTCGTGTGGATGGTTTAAAAATGCCTCGTCCGTCACCCTGAAGTGGCTCTAAGCACCTTGTTATGGCTCGTTGCCTTTTTTAAGGGCAGGTGGCAATTTGCTGCAACGAGGAAGCCCGTTTGTGGCTCGGTGCTGGCCAACACCGCCATTGTTGGCCTAGTAAGAGTTCAAAGAAATTGGGGGTTTTCGTGCTAGTCGTTTTACGAGATATCGGTTTTAGCGCTCCTACGTTGTCGCCCTAGTAGAGATTCTCGGCCAGCCCACGAGCGGGGTGTTGAAATTTCATCATGCACTACGCCGCTACCGTTGGAGCACAAAGGGCTTGTCCCATTTATTAATGCGGGGCAAGGTGATATAAGCAATGTAGCACTATGGGGCTGCATTCCTTTTCTGAGCTTGACGTCAAACGTCTCGCGGTGTCGCAGCTGCGTGGCGTCGCAAGCGCGTGGCGTCGCGAATACAGTGTGTGCCCTGCCCATTTGTAGCTCAGTCTGCGCTACAAGACATTTTTTTCCTCCGAGTTTTGACCGTGCTGCACCAAACAATTGTTTTTACAGCACCGTCTGATGCAAGAACTGGACGAAATGGACATTGAAGAAGACAAGAGGAACTTGATCACGAGAGAGATCGACAAATTCAGGGACACTTACAAGGTACGCTACGACACCACCTGGTGCCGCCTTTCTTTGTTCGCTCTTCCTAAACTTTCCGCCATTTTTAATTCCTTTTTTTTTTTCTCGTCACTAATTTTTTATTTTTATTCGTTGGTCTCGGTCGACCCACCAAATGAGTATCTTTTTTTTTTTTTTTTTAATCTCTTGGCAGATTGATTTTTTTATATTGTTATACATCACTTTATCTTCGTGTCCGTTTCTCCTCGGAACGTCCGTTGGCTTGCGTCACAAGGCGCATTGTGGGGGAAGTTTAGAGAATTTTTTTTCTTGCCCGCTTAAAGTTCCGGTCGACGAAAGTCGTCTGTTCTCCCACGTTTGTTGGGGGCCGAAACCCTTTTTTGTAGAGCGGCTCCGGGGTTAATGTTACTTCCAGTGCAAATCGTTAGGGGTTACTCATCTGCACCGACTGCATGCATCACCACTGCGACAGCACCAATTGCGGACTGTCCTGGTGACTCTAGGCTGGTTCACATATTTGAAGTTGAGTGTGAGCACTATTGTTTACAACAAGAGAACGCATTTGTCAACTCAGTCTTTAATTACCAGCACTGACCTTGCACACCAGATCTAGTCTTGCCTCGTTTCGTTTGTTTACATTGTTTAGTTAATCTATTGTCAGAAAACTCACAATATTGAAGTTCTTTATTTGCTAGAAATGTAGCAGAATGCCTAGAGGGTGTGGCTATGGAACGTTTTTTTCTAAAAAGTTGTTTATTTCTATAAATTTTCTCTTCTGCAAAATTGGTCAACTTTTTGGTCTTCTGTGTCTTCGACAAAATGTCAACATTTTTTATAAAAGACCTCTGTAAAGTGACAAAAAAGTTCCATAGCCGCATTCCTTATTAAACTTCATTTAGGAAAAGGGAAGAATGAGCCTTCCCTGTTTTGCCATTATCGAACGATAGATTGACTAAAATGGAATTTATACCAAAAAGTGGAATGGAGAAAAATGTGTTCAAAGTGCTCCAAACTCTACCTTTTCTTTAGCTTTTTTGGACAGAAAATAATTTATAAAAAATTAACTATGCAGTGAAAATTAAACTTTTTGGGAATACTCTCTAGATGTTGGTGGATGTAAATATGTTATTTTTCAAAATCGACTTTCTTCGCAGAAATTTCTGTTTTTCTGGAGAGTGTCTCCTCTGGCAATGCCGTAAGTGTTAATGGCCCTGGTGCGTTCTCTCGCAAGCGGTTAGAAGCCGTCGCGACGAAGTCGATCATACTCAAATGGAAATGTCTGAACCAGCTTTTGCGGTCACGGGCGTCGCAGTTTGGTGGACGCAGCCCGTGCGCTCGTCTTAACCGTCGAGATCGTCAAGGACGGGGGCAGAACGGGACCGCGTAAATGCGCAAGGCGGGGGGGAAGGCGGGGTTGCATGCCCTTCACTGTGTCGTCAGATCGCAGCCGGTCTCGGACGGGGCGGGGTACGGAGCCAGGAGGATGGGGTTGCGATGAGAGACGGTGGTGGAGGGAGAAAGTGTCCGTTCCGGCCTAAGTGGCGCCTTGTTGCCATTCCCCCAAACACCAGGCGTTGCTCTACTACTCCTACCGCACCGCCGTGCTACTCTATGAACGCAATCAGAGAGCCTATATATGTAGCTAGGACCCGGTGAGTATGCACCCACAACTTTATTCCACCAACGCATATATATATATATACCTGTGTACATTACCTGCTCCTTTCTACTCCTGTCTCGTTCTTTCAAAAACGTGGCTTTTGGATTTTTTTTTTTTTTCTTTTTGTTTATGTGTGTGCGTGTGCGAGTGCGCCACCGGTTCCTCATCGTCCCAGTACCCTCCCGCTGGCCGTGAGTGATTTCACGCCTTTCGGTTTCCTCGGTTTTCGTAGCTTGCACACGCAATCCGTGCGACAGCATTCGGTCGTTCCCCTCTCCCCCCCGACTGGGGACACGAAACCAAAAGAGGCGAGCGAATCACCTTCGTTATTTGGACCGCTTTCCTTTCTTTTTTTTTTTATTCCCACCTTGTAACTTTTGGCGGGCCTTTCGCATCCTTAAAAGTACCTTTCGTCTTTTGTGTGTCGTCCTTTTTCTTCGATCGTCGGCATGTGCAGCCCACTGACCTTGGTCTGAACGTGACTTCGTGGGGTAAGTACGCCTGCTGGTAACGAAAATGTAGCAACCTGCTCTTTTGTAGTGTGCTTTCCTTTTTCTTTTCCCCCGTCTCTGCCCTTTCCTTCTTTTTTTTTTTCTTGCCCAAGTGTCCTGGTGACCGGTTGATGCACCTTCGCTTACCAAATTCTGTCTCCGCTGGGAGGCCTTTCCTTGTTGCACCTGACTCATATTACGGAGTCCACATGCACTCGTATTCGTCCTTAGCCGCATGGGGAAATGGCATGAAGGTACGGTACACATCTATGCAGGCTTGAAGCAAAGCGCAGTGAAAGAGTGTGCATGTTTTATGTAAGTTCAAAGATTTGCCATTTATGGCCATCAATTTCGAGGGTTGAAACCCAAAAACCGACTGGCAAATTCACAATTTAATGTAAACATTTCGGCAAAGATCTGCCTGGTTAGGTACGCAATGTGAAAGGGGTACTCTGTCCATTCCCTTCATCGTGCCCTATGTTTCGAAGCCGGCTCCTTGTTCAAGGGTGGCTGTACGGAGTCCCAAAGGTCGCAATTTGTCGTTATCTTTGCAGAACGTGTATATGGCTGCTTGGTAGCGGTCCGGTGGATTGGTTCAGGTTGTTGTGCATATTCTGTGTATGCAAAGATTCTAACAAGAGCCGTCTCCTCTAGTTTCTTTCACTGTCGAAGGCAACGATGTGGCCGGTCTTGTTTGCATGTTCCTCCAGCGCATTGCCTTGAATGTCCTTCGCCTCATACTTACATCTGTCTGTGCAGACATTTGGGAAAGTTCTTTGTTTCCCCCGCATACGAGGCGTCGCATTCAGTACAGTGAATTCAGTAAACCAGCCCTCGAGCTTTTTCTTTTGGGGGACGATCCTTTGAAAGAAGATGATGGCCTATGGTTGAGGCGGGCTTATTTGTAACTGCGATGCCGTACGGTTTTGGGGCACGGGCAAGGACCTCGCTTGTGCAATTGAGGTACCGAGCGCATGTGCGGTTGGAGGCGTTTGTGTTCTTGGCTGCAGGAGGGTGACATAGGTAGTTTCTCGTAGATAGTTAGTTTGGAAACATAGGTAGTTTCCAAACTAATCTTGTTAGGTAGTTGTTTTTTCGGAGGTCTTGTTTGATGAAATCAGGTTTAAGTGACTTCCCTGTCGAGCAGACCATGAGGGCGCATTAAAGGAGCGCTGACATTACTCAGGACTTCCGAGTTGTAGGGTGGTAAGTTTAGGTCGCAACCAGTGTGCGTTGCTTTCCTGTATACCCGCGATGTGTCGCACAAAAATGGAAGATGATAATACTGACAGAAAGAAGCTGACAACAGTCAGCGACCTTTTGCCCCACTTACAGTCACCCATGAACAAGGAGCTGAGCCGGCTTCAAAACGTCGGGCACGACGAAGAAATTGGTTAGTTCAAATTTTAGTTCCGCTGTCACGACTTTGGGCCTTGTCAGTAGTTCTGGCTAATCGCCGGCACGAAGTCGGGAACTTGCTGGGGAGCAGAACCTTGTTTACACGAGGGTTCGCAAGGCCAGTCTGGGGATTTGCTGGCAATGTAGGAAATTTGTTGCTAGCTTGCTGCTAGCTTCTGAGATTCTCTGGTAATTATTGAAAAGGGTAAGGTTCGTCTGACAATTTGCCGGCAGAACGTTGGGTCACGACTAGCTAGAACTCCACCCCTCGTCCACAATTTGCGCTAGAAAGGGCAATTCTTTTTCTTTTCCGGGGGTATTAATTAACAAACACTCTTTCATACCGAAGATCCGTGGAAGATAGGGTGGGGCTTGGGAATGGATTCTTTTTTAAAGCCTCCTTATGCAAGGGAGCGCCGGGTTGCAATGCCCCAACAGGGAGCTTCGTGCAACGGCTGCGACGTAAGATGGCCGCCAAGCAGGCTAGTTCAGCGGCCACGGTGACAGCAGACGGGCTCACGGTGAAAATTGCCTCGTACCAGAGCGCTGCTGGTTCTCACGTGACCCACTTTCCCGTCATTTCCACCCTCGCCCTCGGAGATCCACTCGCAGAACCGGAGTCGGTGCCGCCAAGATCAAAAGAGGTGAACAGAGGGGTGGACACCGCTAGTTGGTTTCTCTCGGTCGGTGGTGGATGGCGTTTTGAGTGCTACCCTCCAATTCTCTCGGTGGTGGCGTTGTTTTCCTTTACTGTCCTGACTAGCAGGGACGGTCGATTATCTCTGGAACGAAGTTGAGGTGGTGGTTCTTCATCTTACTGTCTTCGAGATGGGCTGGTCTCTTGTCTACGTGTTCGATTCTAGACCTCTCTATTTGATGGGCTGTTGAGAACTTCGTCTCCATTTCTGCTTGGTTATTTTTTCTCCTGGTGTGGCCTTTGGGCTATTTTTTTAAATAAAGTGCAATACGTTTTTTTTTTATTATTATTATTTAGTTGGAAGTTTATACTACAGTATATAAAAAAATTGGACACTGGCTTTTAAGGCCTAACAACCTTAGCTTACCTTTGATTCTCTATTTTTTTTATGTATGGGAAAAATTTCAGAATGTGTAACAGTATTTTTATATGGCTGGCATTTCACCGTTTTCCCTTGCTAGCTGCTGTGTCATGTTTTTTCTCTTTCATTCATCTCTTTAGCTTTTTTTTTTTCCATAAAAGGCAGCTTGAGATTTTCTGCTTTTATTAGCTTACACTTCACACCTTTGCAATCGGACCCGCATGTATTCTGGCTGTTGCATGCAAATTCTGCATTGTTTGCATGGCTTTTGGCATTCAGCCGTTTCATGTTGCAAAGCTGATCATCTTAAAACGTTGCATGTACTTAAGTGTGCTTTCATTGCATGCAATACTTGGCGTTCTTGCTGATGTTACTTTTTTATGGAACGCTTGTTTCACTAACCATTCAAATTTGTCACAGCGGACTGGCTATATTAACCCTGTGCGTTCAAAGTGTGGTCCATCTCATGTCACGTCTTAAGGTGCTGATAGCAGTGCTTATTGCAGTTTTTAACAAGTTTGCATGCTGAATTGGGCAACCTAAGTTTGGTCCTTTTCATTTGTTTTCATGTGAACAATGTTTTTTTCTTCTGTGTTAAAAATCTTGTCAGTGGCTTGCATGCTTGGAATCGCACACTTATGCTTCATTAACCACTTGGGGGTCACCCTACCCACCTCATGTATGTCACACCTAACTTGCAGCTATGGAAATCGCAGCCTTTGATGAGCGGAACTTTGTCATTTGGCTCATGTCTGCAGGCTTTAGTACCTATGTCCAAACAGTGGTTATCAGTTTCGTGTTTTGGGCATCGGTGCCATGTAAGTAGTATTCGTTGGCTGGCTGATTGGTCAATGCATGTCTAAGCCTGTATGATTTCACTTGAGGTGGCGGCCGTGGTGCATGCATCACTCTACGTCCCAACTTGTTCCTGTCTCTTTCAACGAGCTTTCTCTTGGACGCCATATACCAGATGCGCGAGCGACTTGAACCAGGAAGCGGCAAATCGGCGTAGAAACTCGGTGGACATGAATGAATTGGCAGAAATATTTTATGTGTCGAGCAATTCCTTACATGAAACAGTTATCCGAAATCTCGGGATGGCCGACGCCGAGGCAAACGTTAAAAAATGCCAAGGTCATCGGAACTGGATTCAGAACGCATAGAAATGTTTCCCTGCAGCCCCTGATGCTGTTTATATAAACAAAAATAATAATGCCTGCTGTGGGGGATCTCTGGATGTTTAAGCTTTTATGGTTGGTCTATATCAGATCTTTCCTTTTGGTATTTTAAATGGGGCCTTGCTATAGACAACAATAGACCATTTTCAAAAGTGTGCTCCCTCCAGCAGCTGATGTGTCATTTATTCGAGTCCTCCATTGTTTGGAGCATGTACTGGACGTGAAGGTTGCGTCGGCGTTTGGTGTGGAGTGTGCTTAGCTCGCACCAAAAACGAGCGCTGCATTGGCATTTGACGAAGGTTCGGATACAGTCGCGCTCTTCATGCCCGAGAAATGGCGACAGCCAACGTTGCTGGACGAGGTTTTAGAAAGGGTCTATCTAAACGATCGTGCCACACGGAAAGATGGTCAGATGCATTTTCGGGGCAGAAAGGAACTGGAGATTGGTCAAATGCTAAACCGAGGCAGGTGCATTTTCGGTGTAGAGAGAAATCAGAGATTGGGCGAACACCAAACCGAGGTAAGTCTATTTGGTGAAGCTTCCGGCAACACATACTTCCTACATTTTTCTTGAGGCCACTCTCTGTTCGAAGCTTTCCACCCCCTTTCTGTCTCGTGCTTGCGTCTCCCACGCTTGAACCTCGCTCTAATTTCCCGAAGACGGCCTCTAGCAACAGGTAAGTGCACCTCCGACCCACTTCTCTCGCGTGCCCCCCCTCCCCCACGTTCTCGGCGACGTAGGTGCGCCACCGCGGAGAACGGAAACCTCAGGTGAGAGGAAAACCTTTCTGTCGTGATCCTTCCGTGAAGCGCGCGAACCGTACGTGGGGCAGTCTCTCCGGAACCCGCGGTTGCAGACCCCGGTAAGTCGTTTCCCTCGCGAAGAACACAAGGGGAGAAAAACAAAATCTGCTTTGGCAGCCACCGAGGGCTCTCTCCACAAATATTTTGCAATGTGGTGAGTGTGACACGTCCGTTGATTCCATCAGTAGCTGTTTTCTGGGAAGCTTTCTGTTTTTCCGGGGACTGTCTCGGCCGCCGTCGTTGGCCGCGCGCCGATTGCTGTTGGCGAGTGAAACTGCGCAGAGTTTTGGGGGAACTGGAAGGCCTTGTCTCGGCGCATCGTAGAAGGGGACTCTGGCCACCAGCAGGGTGAGGATGGCAGGGCACGCCTTTCAAAAACCCGGCCTTCGGCCCGCGTACCATGCCTTTAACCGTGCTTGGCTGCACACTCACGCGTGCTTGTGGTGCACAAATTCCTGAAGAGTTGTCGAACGTAGGAAGCTGGCACTAGGGGTGGGACAACTGAAGCTGCTCCCTGCCATTCTCGCCTTCTCAGTGGCTATGACTGCTTCTTTTCTTTTTTACCCCAGCTGATTGTGTTTTGTTTTGTTTTTTTCTCATTATTTGGTGTGGGGGGACTTTGAAAATGTTTTATGTACTTTCCGTTAAGAGTACCTTCTTTGACATAGCATATTTTAATGGGAACGCCTAGGCGGCTTTTCCATTGTGCTGCTTTTCACTCGCTTTTGGGGTGAAGTGCGCTTCTAAAGTAATTCAATCATTTGGGGAGTTTTTTTTTTTTTTTTTCCAATTGTTGTTTTGTTTGCGAGTGCCTTAGCTCTGCCTGAGAAGTAGACAGCAAGATTCCCGTGATTCCTCTCTGCAGGGATTAGTTGTTTTTTGGGGGAGGGGCTGCTGCACCTCTAAAGTGACTTCCGATCGTGTTGGCGAAGCAAGTAAGGCTTTGTCCCACTCTCTCTAGCATCTCCGTGTTCCCCGAACTTGTCCGTCGCCTTCTGGAAACGCTTGTACGAGCGGCCCGCGCTTGTGTCTCGAGATTTCTAAGAATTTTACAAGCGGGCGTCATTCGTCTCGTGTCCCAAAAAGTGTTTCAAGCAAAGTTCGTCACTTTCTTTGGCTCTAAAGACGCAGCTGCGGAGTTCTTTAGAGTGGGCTGGCAGCTTGCTTGGGCTTGCATGAATTAACTGGACAAACTTTTTTTTTTGTGTGTGTGTGTGTGTTCTTGTAGTTTGGTGTTGGGAGGGAGGGGTACCATCTTTTGGCTATTGGTGCTGATGTGCTTGCTTTCACACTGTTAGCGAGAAGGTCGCTGTTGACGCTTCCGCTTTTTGGAATGCGCGTTTTTAGGAGGCGCAAGCTGAGTTTCCGGTTTCTTTCGCTGTTTCTGGTTACTGAGTTCGATGCACTTCTTGCCACGAAAGGTAAAAACACGGAACTTTCTTTTACTTGTGCCTCCACTGTTGCGGTGAAGGTAAAGCAAGCAAGGAGGGACTTGGAGAGAAAAAAAAATGTGTGCGTTTAATTGGCAGCTTTTTTAAATCTAGTGACGGTGCAAATGCTTTATGCAAGCAAGTGTAGCCATGCGTTGCATAATGGTAGGTGTTAGAAAGTAAAAGGTTGCAGCTTGATATAACTTGGCGTCATCCTTTGTGTAAAGTAGGAGCATGCAGATGATTTGTTGCTTTCGGTTCATCTAGAAGTGACTTGCACCTTGCCGCTTATGTTCTTTGTGGTGTATGAGGCACCAAGTGTCATGGGACCAATTCTAATATATGCTAAGAGGAATCTATTTAGTGACATAGTACTGTTTACCTTGATGGAAGATTTGCTACTGCCTCAAATCTTGCTTTAATTTGAAAACGAGCTAGTGCAAGAAACTGTCTCAAAGTTATCTGTAAACTGATATATGCAGGTTTCACATGCTGTCTAGTGACACGAAATTGCCCAGCTTCTCTCGGATTTCGGGTTTTGCTTGTTTCATAGTTCTGCTTTCGGATAGTGCTGTTTTATTGCTGCAGGCTTCAGTGAAAGTGAGGTGCTTGTTTTTAGGATCTAGGTTTTTGCCGCTAGATGGCATAGCATCATCCGTGCGAATGCCTACGTTTGGACTTTGTTTGCTCACGGCGCGACGCTACCCCGTGGGCGAGGCGAGTGCGCTGATGACCCGCCCATCCTTTTGCGCTCTGTGCAGAGGCAGCAGGAAGAGGACCGCGACCGAGAGCGGGAGCGACGGCGAGACCGCAAGGAGCGCCGCCCGTCGCCCGACCGGTCTCGCATCCGGGACCGGGGAAGCGAGAGAGACAAGGAACGCAGCGGTGACCGGGGCGACCGCGGCGATCGGGGTGACCGTGGCGATCGCGGCGATCGTGGGGACCGCGGCGATCGTGGAGACCGCGGTGACAAGGAGAAGGACCAGAGGATCTCTCGAGACCCAGACAAGGCGGAGGAGAGGTCACGGGAGAGAGAGAGGTCCGAGCGCGAACGGGACCGGGAGGCGAGAGAGCCATCGTCGTCGTCGTCGCAACAGCCGCCCCAGCCGCCGGCGCCGCCGCGTTCAGAACGTGCACCTTCCAAGGCCCGGTCGGAGTCACCGGACTGGGTCCAGAAAAAGGAACGAGAACGGGAGAAGGAGATGCGAGAGATGCTTCGGTGAGTCCGAGATTCGGTGTCTCGCCCCGGTAGTCTGTGCTGCCTTTTGCGCGGCTAGGCGTGCAATGTCGCGACTTTAGGGGCCGGAAAAAGCGGCGAGGGCAAGCTTTTGACTTGTGAGATAATAATAAGATTCGAGTTACCATTGCTTCGTGTATTGGGACCGTGCTGCAATCAAATGAACCTGTGTCTTTACATTGGAAATTCCTGGGGGAGCTTGTTCTTTGGGAATCGTCGCGTCTCCACGACAAGGCTTGAGGACGGTCCAGAAACTGGTCCACCTTCATTTATTTTTGTGAGTCAACCGCTTACGTTCAGTGAAACAGGAGTGTAATGTGTCTGCTCTCTTATTTATGCAATTTCTAGAGAGTTTGACAGAACTCGCAAGTGCAACAAGTGCTCGAGAGAACTCGCAAGTGCTCATCGGTCAAGTGTTAAACAGCACTCGCAAGAGTTCGGCGGAACTCTCGCAATATTGCGGGACTGCAGATTGGGGCAGTGTAGATGAGGATGAGTCGCTTAGTTGGCTAAGGCCTCATTAACACATTTCTTCCCACATCTCTCAACAGACGAGGCGACAAGGGTCAGGTTCAGCGACCCACCACTAATGTAACCGAGGAAAAGTAAGGGGGCACTGGGTCTCGAAAGACCTTCTCACTCTTGTGTGTGGTTGCGCGCGGCAGTGTGCCGACTAATGGCGCCTCGCGGACTTATTCGAAGATGTGTGGAGTCTCGGGCCTCTGCCCCCGGGGACCTGTCGAAGCGCTACTTTTCCCTCTGTAGCTCTGTCTAGAGCCGAGCACAGACTTTTTCTTGGAAAAGCTTGCAGTCCATTTAAGTCATCCCTGACAAAATTCTTGCTTGTAAGATGTGCTACGAGGTCGGTGGCTTTGGTGTACGTCGCGCGATACACCACGCTTTGCGACCACCTCATCAAGTGATGCGACATGGTTGCATAATGCTGATGAGGTCACTTCCATGTCACTTTTCTCTGTCTATCTCTTTCTACATAGCCTCTTCCTATAACATATTCAATGCTGATATTTTGGTCTGTCTGTTATTACTTGCGGGCGTGTTTGTAGAAGTCCCTTAAGATGCGCTCGGAAAGACGAGGCAATTCAATTGGGCGTTGCAATTTTACCCCGACTTCCTCAGTCTTGACAGTCTTAATGTGAATGAAGGAAAGCACTTCTACCATTTAAATAAAAGAAATCTAGTGAAACATTGTCACGCTTTAGGTACGAATAAACTATCCGCTTGTCAGCTATGTCCAAGTGTTGTCACCTTTCTCTTTTGTTAGTGTACGCTTTTCCGCATGTTTTCTAACGAAAGGCACTTTGGGTGCCCTTTGTTAGGAAGGCGCCCTAAGGTGCCTTTCTAACGAAAGGGTCAGTCAGTGGTGAAAGCTGCCAAGAATATGAACTCGTACTGGCCCTTTATTTCAAAACCTTAGGAACAGTGTTAGACTGGTGCAATCGCAGAAGGTACCTTTCACCGCAACAAAAAGTATCGCTGTTCTCTAGGAGTGATTCAGTTGCTTTGCGGCCAGCACGTTTCGAAAGTGGATGGTGACTCGACTGCAAGCTTACACGGGGACACTGCGTGGCGTGACCCTTTTCGTAGGCCACGTGACTCCGAGCGAGACTGGGAGAGGGAGCGCGAGGAAGAGGAGGATGCCCACGAACGCAAGAAGATGGAGAGGAAGCTGCGCGAGAAGGAAGCCGCTTATCAGGAGGTGAGGAACTCGACCTTCGTTGGTATTCGATGAATGCCGCAGATCCCAAGTGCTAAACCTCATCAGGGGCTCCAAGTTGGGCACTTCGCGAGAAGGTCACCAACTGCCACGATTGGCCAGCGCCAAGGTCAATCGTGCCAATCGCAATAATCGGCAATCTCGCCGAGCGTCCAACCTAAGGCCCCAGCTCAGACACCCATGCGACACGAGTTTTCTAAAAAGGGGCAGGGGGGTTCGCGTTATCATTGCATTTGACTTTCTGCCATGCGTGTCCATTCTGAATGAGCAAACGTGTCTGCTCGGGGCTTGCAGCGGTTGCGCAACTGGGAAACGAGGGAGCGTCGCAAGGCCAAGGAGTACGAGAAGGAACGCCTCAAGGAAGAAGAGAAGAGGTCTGAAGAGGTAACAGTGCACATCTCTCCCTCCTATGTTTTTCTTCTCATTACTCACACTTTTGTGGTGCTATGTCAGGAACCTGTCAGCCAATTCAAGTTAGTTCCAAAAGTCGGTTCCAACATTTTTCATTGTGAAACGTTGTTTGGCTAGGTGTTCGACATTTTGTGAAGCCTGGATAAAAGCGTGGCCACGAAGTTCGACGCTGATTGGTTGATGGATGGGAGGGGAGGAATGAGGCTCCCGAAGCTGATCAGTATACGGGAAGATTGTGTGACCAGAGGGATAGGCGAGGAGGAGCTCGACCACCTGTGCGCACTGAGGGAGAAGAGCTCGAGAGTGTGGAAAGCTCTGGAAGATCATCCGGTGGATCAGCCCAATTAGCGGCAGTATCGCTTCATTCTAGGAACAGCTACAAAGTGTACACATGGTGCGCGTTAAATTATCTAACGAAGAGCGCCGTGGACAAAGGCGTCTGGCAGCTCCGAGTATCGCTAAATGTTTACGATTCTAAAACGTTATACGTGTGCAACAAACCACCTAGCAGTTTGCCAGAAGTTTTTAGAAATTGTGTTTTTCATCGTCGGTGTTCTCCCCAGTTGTTCTAATTAAATTTTCAGATAATTATGTTTTTATAAAAATAGGGCTTACAGAAAGTTACTTATAAAATCTTTCAAAGTTAAAACTTCCCCCTTAGAAAGAGACTTTATGGCTGGGGTCCACTTCAGAAGGCCAACAGGTCTTTCAGCACCACCCCCCCACGCACGCATTATCACCACTCCTGAAATTAAATTCTTAATTGATTTATTGGGGCAAGCAATCTTCCCGAGTTGGCTAGAACCCTGTCAGCATTTTCTGGGATACTAAAATTCTACTATCGGAAAATGAGACGAGAATCACTTTGGGGTCCCATTGCAAATTTGCACACACATTTCTCATCCCCCAGGGGAAGGAGGCACGACGGTTGAAGGAGTTCCTCGAAGACTACGAAGACGAACGGGACGACGTCAAGTATTACAAGTGAGTGACCCCAGGCAATCCTTTCTGAGCTGCTTCACAGCCGTTTTGATGTTTAAGGAGAGGGAGTCGCTCGTAACAGAGAGACTGCCTTTCGTTGAATTCCAATTGCAACCTTTTTTACGTAGATTTAAAAGCCGATGCTTCGTAGGATTCGTGTGGGATCTGCAAACCGGACCATCCGTGTCTGGAGACTCCTCACATGCATCTATTCGTTTTTGCCTCCCGAAGACCATTTCACATGTTGGCATAAGAGTGACCAAGTGCACTGGGATATTTTACGACTGCTTGTGACAAGGCAACGCACCACATATCAGCGGAGGACACTGGCGCCCTGCCGCCATCTGTTGGGTGTTCCTAAAACTGCTAATAACTAGACCGAAGATTTTGCAGTATTTTCTACAGGGTCCGATCGCGAAAGGTAAATTCGGCATTTTAGCCCGCATAAATAAACTATGCTTCGCAGAAAGCTGAAACTTTGTGAGAATGTGACACTAGCGGTGATGATAAAATGCAAAAGTTTGAGCACATGACGTCACCTGGATCAAAAGATACTAAAGGGGAACAAACTTTCTCAATGAGCCGACGTCCATGTAAGCCCGATTTTCATCGGACCAATATTTGAGATTGTGGGTGCCTGTAACAATTATGTTGGTGAAAGAACTTGACATGAAAGAAAACAGTATTGTCTTTCTAATTGGCCAGTTTTTTCACTGAAATAAAGGAAACAGGTGCCCATGATCCCAAATTACGGTTTGAAAAATAAAGTTGCTCGTTGAGGAATTTTGTTTTTCTTTTGTATCTTTTGACCTAGGTAACGTCATGTACTCAAACTTTTGCAACTTATCTCCACCACTAGTGTCATATTCTCACAAAGTTTGATCTTTCTGCACTGCATAGTTTATTTATGCAGGCTGAAAAGCCAGGTTCGCCTATCTCACCTTACAGATCAAATTTATGCACAAGCTACGAGAAGTGATTGCTTATAAGTAGGATTCCCTGTTTTCTGAGTTTATTTCTTGTAAAATTGAGAGGTCTTTTGGGGAGTTCATTTTTTGCTGAAAATTCTTATTTGAGTTTATTTTTGTTAGACTCCTAATTCTCTGAACTTCCGAGTTTATGTTACCGTGTTCTCAACTTTTAAAATTCAAAAACAAAATAAATAACGTCCGGGGTACCATGACCCGTTCCCCTCAAGGAACTTTGACGAGCTAAAAGGCTAATCCCTTTTGTCTGTACTTCTAGATTTCAAAGGAAACTGAAGTGACACTTCCCTAGGACCACTTATCCTGTGCTCTTAGGAAGTTTATTTGCAAAACAATGTTTTTCTTGTTCTATTTATTTTGTCATGAGCTCAAAATTCTGAACTTTCCAGATAGATCCGAACTAAAAAAAAAAATTTACCGACGTCCGTTTTCGGATTTTTTTTTTTGAAAACATGGAACTCGGCATATAACATGTCACGAGTATTTCACGCCCATAGTGACAGAGTGATGCGTAAAAAATTGAGAGAAATACATGAATTGGTAGTGTTTCAGGGCTACTCCAAATTGATGGCGCCAGTGTGGTCTCGCCTCGTAAGCAGTTGCAATGCACTCTGTCCTATTTGACCACAAATATGTGAACTATCTTTCACCTTCTCAAGTTACACGAGAGTACCTCGCGAGCACCGTGTTTTGTTGGGCTTCGCAAAAAATCTCAGATTGCTGGCGTCTAGGTTTGAAGGCGATACTGACCCGTGCTCGATCTTCAGGGGCAGCTCCTTGCAACGCCGGTTGAAAGACCGCGAGAAGGAGCTGGAACTGGACAACCGGGACCGGCAGCGAGAGAGGGAGGAGCTCGAAGAACTGCGGCGGAAGCTCACCGAGGAAGGACACCCCGACCCCGAGGCGGAGGCCAAGCGGGTGAGTTGACCGCGAGTGAAGCGTGCTGCGGCATGCGTTCCGTCCTGGTAGAGGTGTGTGAATGCCAAGTTTTTGATTGCGAACTGAACGTGAACATTAAAATTTTATTTGAAGGTAAACATTTTGGCAGAGCTCTCCCTAGTTGGGGAGAAGATTTGAAAATCGAATAAAATCGCCGCTTAAATTCTATGCGGAGAGCAAGTCGTCTGCTTCTTCCTCAAGAGTTGCGGTGACAACAGAAAGACGCCGAGCTCCGACTGTTTCTGATTAAGGGATAGTGGGTAGACCTCAAAACAAGCTGCCTTGAGGTCCACCCACCATCTTTCATTTAGAACCAGGTCGAGCTCGGCATTCTGACGTCACCACAACCCCTACAAAAGAAGCAGACGACTTGCTCTCCGCATAAGATTTGGTTGGTGATCTTTTTTTTTTTTATTTTCTAAAATTTTGTTACGGATTGAATTTGATTTGAGCATAAACACTTCATTAAATCACAATGATTTTTTTTCTTTTTCTGGAAGGCTTTTATGAAAAGGAATTGTTTTATTTGTAAGAAATATAGGGTGTCACAAAAGAAAATTTACACGGTCTTTTTTACCGCAAAAATAAACTAGGCATCGCCGAACACTCATTCTCCGCCCAAAGGTAGAGCTAGAGGTCACAACCAGATGCCAAAGCATCAGCCCGATCCGATAACTTAATCAAAAGTTATAAGTTATTTCCTGAAAATTTCAATGGGAAAATGGAGCCCAATTTTGCTCGTTTTCGGTTTCTGGTGCCATAGAGCCCCATGTGTTGGAAAACTCCGTCGGCCGCCATTTTCCCGTTGAAATTTTCAGAAAATCACTTATAACTTTTGATTAAGTTATCGAATCGGGCTGAAACTTTGGGATCTGGTTGTGACCTCTAGCGCTACCTTCGGGCGGAGAATGAGCGTTCAGCGATGCCTAGTTTATTTTTGCGGTAAAAAAGACCGTGTAAATTTTCTTTTGTGACACCCTGTATTTCGCTTAAATTTTGCCTCAGTGAGATCTGTAACATAACAAACCTAATGATGACTACCTTATTTATTTGAAATAGCCAAAATCTTATCACCATATCTGATACAAGTCTTATTGAACCCAAGATATGAATCATATGGTTGTCATGCGGCAAAGTCCTTGAAGCTCGCTTCACCTATGCCACGTATTGGCTCGGTATTGCACTGCCTCTGGGATCGGCCCATGGTGACAAATGAAAGAATTCTGAAGACATTCCTACCTCTCGAATTTTCGAAAAACTCGGAATATTCTAGAGAGTAGAGGTGTGCTGCGAATAGACTATCCACGAAACATTACAAGTTTTGCATGTTCACACACCTACATTTGGGTCCGAGAAACGGAAGTTGAGTGTGCGCCCCATGGACCCTCCTTTCCCAGATCCACCACGAAGAGGAGGTGCGGCTGCTCAGGCCCCTGCTCCTGCCCATCGGGAAGCCGGACCCCGAACCCGCGCCGGAGCCAGCACACCGAGACCTGACCCCTCCCCGGCGGCCACACCACGGCCGGTTGTCCCCCAAGCGGTCCCCCAAGGCGTCGCCCAAGCAGGTGGGGTTCCCCTCGCTGCAGAGGGCCATCCCTCGCTCAATTGTTGAGAGCTCTCGAAGGATTTTCTCTCGGCATTCATCTTGTTTCGCTTCACCTTACGTCAAACACGGCCGACGCTACGAGCTGATTGAACCAATGAAACATCAACAAAAGTGCAAGTCACTGGGCCTTCCCTGTACATGAATGGTTCAGCGATAATAGAGCATATACTGAAACATGACAAACACCATTGTCTTGTTTCGAAAACTGCGTTAATGGAAAGTACTATAATCACACAAACAAATCTTTACAAAGCATGGGATTAAAAGGTGTTCAGTTATGGCGGTCTTCAAAAGTGAGGCGCCTGATTAGTGCCGTCACCTCGTAGTGTCACTTGTGTCCGAATCTAAGGTGAAACTAAATATTGTTAGAATCTGAGAATATTGATTTTAACGTAAAATATGTTCTTGGGCTTGCTGGAGACTGGACTCTCACGCGGGCAATAACTCCTCGAGCGGGGTTCATATTTCTTCAATGCCAAGATCAATATTATATTCAGTTTCAGTATAACTTTGCAAATAGTAAAGACGGCAGCCACGGCGAGCCAATCGGAGCGTCGATAGTGAGGCACCTGACGGTACACCGCCGGCTGACACTCTTCCTGCGGAGAGCTGTCGTGTGCTCCACCTGGTTGCTCTCATTGGCTCACGGTGGCAACAGCTTCTGCTCCTTAACGTGTCTAAAGGCCGGTTCACACATACAACTCGACATTATATCAGCAGAGTATTTAGCCACGTATTCACCGCTCATTTTGCACCGTATTTTCTCCTCTCACCACTGAGGTTTCCTCCTCAATGCAGTAGAACCTCATTGTTAAATTCTCGGTTGATATGTTTTCTTGGCTGTTACGTTCAAAAACACCGGTCTCATTTTACTTTTATAGAAATACATGTATTAGTTTCCTGCCTGTCATATTTGCTTTCCCGGTTTTTACGTACAAAAGAGTCGGCATCGTGGCACCTCGGCGCGCCGGGCGCCAGGCTGCCACGCTGGCTTCGAAGCGGAGCAAAGCCAAAAATGCAATGTGGGTTGCACGGCACGCGTGGGCACGCAGACGCCAGTCTTCCCTTTACTCCTTTGCCCCTCTTTTCCATCTCTCTGTCTCCTCGCTGGGCTTTGCTGATCTCTGCCACAGCTTCCCATATTGCCCGGGTGCGACCTTGGAGCACTGCTCGGACGGGAAGCGAGGCTGGCTGGACGGCAAACGCTCGTTCCCTCTTGCTCTCTCTTTCATTTGTCCTTCCCTTTCTCTGGCACGAGGTACATCTGCATGCACGCTGCGCTTCTAGTTTCTGTTCCACTCGATTGCGTGAACCGTGGTGTCTTGGAGTATGTGCGCTTTGCTCCCATTGACGACGGTCATGGCATCGCGAAAAAAGAAGGCACTTTCTTTTAAAGAAGTTTAATGTAGGTACTTCAGACGGTGGATCACAGTTCCAGCCGGAAGAGATCTGACATCGCAAGAAACCTGGGACTTGCGCCGCCAACTTTGAACAGAATCATCGCCAAATGAAAGGACATTGAGGCGAAAGCTCTTTTTTTATCAACCAGGCTTTAAACAGGCTCAAGGGGCAAAACACGCAAAGTTGGAGTGTCCGAGTCCTTAGCAGTTCTGTAAGTACACATAAAATAAACCATTGTATAAAAGCTGCTTTCTATCTCATGTAGAGCCCCCCTAAGTGCATTATCGGTTGTTACGTTTTCCCGGATGATACATCTTTTTCGGCGGTCCCCTGTAAAACATATCAATGAGGTTCTACTGCCTGCAATAATACTGCAAGGTAGCTTGCTGCAGCGAGATCAGTTTCATGAGCTCCTTGGCTGGCAATGGAAGAGCCCTTGCCACTGGTCCAATTTCATCTGCAGTTGCACTGAGATGGCTTTGTTCTGAGAAAGACTAGTTATGGTGTTGGGGCAAGGCTTAGAGCTTTGGCCGTGTTCTTTGCGCACACTGTCGAACGTGTTGATCTTAAACGGGAACAAGTCACCAGAATCGCAAGCACCGTGAGCCGTCTCTGCAACGTCTTAGGTACGAGGCATGAGACGTTATCATTGAAGTCATTTGAAGCTGTTTCACACACTCGCGGCTGCTTACAACCGCAGAAACTTAAAAATTGTAGCCCAGTTGGTCGCAGTCAAGCGGAAGCATGTGAATCAGTCCTTGCCTCCGTTATATCGACACTATTTTAGCAAACGCTGCATTAACACTAAGTTCAGACAGAGTTAGCACTGGAATAACGCTGCGCTGTATGTGTGAGCGGTCCTAGCATTAAGACTGAGTGGATTTCCGAATGGCCTGATTGCATCCCAGGCGCCGCTTGCGGCCGAGCCGCGATCCCCGGCACCCACCATGGCGGCACCGGAACAGCCGGAGGTTCCCTCCGCGGCGAGGGCAGCCGGCTACGCCGCCATGGGGTCTCCCCAGCGACTGTCGTCGGTGTCCCCCAGGGCCCCCTCCTTTGCCCCCTTGATCTCGCTGGAGGAGGACAACAGCGGCCAGAACAGCCTGTCCGGCTTCTCGGACGTCCTGGTCACCCCCAAGGAGGAGGCCAGGCCCATCGGCTTTGGCGTGCTCAAGCTGGGCAGTGGCGGTGAGTTTGTGGAGGGGCCGCGAAGGCCATACTTTTTATGAGGTACCTTGAGGGATACTATCGTGAACAGCACGAGCGGGGACGCTGGAGCACGTGACCTTCAATACATGCCGCTCCACCTGGAGGCCGATAAAACCATAAAGTGGAGAGGTGACTGCGAGAATGTGCGCTTACTCCAACATGCACACTCTCGCAGCCCTCCCCCCCCACTACGCCGTTTTATCGGCCCCGAGAAAGCACAATCTTTATCGAATACCGAGCGCTCTGGGCGTTCCTGCTCGTATTGTTCACAATTGTACACCGCACGACGACGTTGACATAAGCACGACATCGGCACGGTTTAGGATTCTACTTTAAAACGGTATTAACGAGCATCAAAGCTTGCCCAAACGAAGATTTTTAACCATACTAGTACTTTCGATGACCATCCTTTTCACCCGGAAGAAAACTGAAGAAAAATGGCACCGACAGTATCGTGTTGGGTAGATAGGTTGTTGGATGTACGGACCAGAGGCCAGTTCCCATATGTCTGTTTGAGTGTGATAGACTGCATTGCAACCGCTCGTAAGCACTCGTGATGAAATAACGCACTGCCGCCACCTATCGGGCAGTCCTGGAACACGTTCGATCTTCGTACGACTAGACCGGACGTTTCACGGTATTTGCGAAATTGTTAATGCGAAAAGTTTGCAGCCTGCCGTGGTCACCAACGAGACGACGACGGCAGGGTGCCGCTTCAGCTCGCGAGACACCCAAGCGTCGTCGAAGGTGGAAAGTTTGCACTAGAGGCGGGAAAACCATAGGCCCTCCCTGGTTCTAATCTTTTCAGCGACCATTCGCAACTCCAAAGCCCCATAGACGGTGGGGCGGTAGTTCTGAGATGGCAAAAGACTGGAATAGATTCTTTGGGATTTCCCGCTCATCTGCTCGCTGACGCCGGTCGATGTGCCGAAATTAATTTATTTGGTTACAAATACGAAGCGGCCGGGGTGGGAGCTTATCGTGGGTAACCAAGATGCCGACAGGCGTTTGAAGCGGGACACGACCATTCCTATTTTGACGCGCTTGCTTTTTCCATTGAAACTGCATGATGCACGAACGCGCCGACCATAATCGTGCAGAAACGGCAGCGCCAAGGCCGTCAGTTGCTGCCGCTGTCTCTGCACTTCCGGTCCTTCGTTCACCTGCGAGAGGACGAGCGGCGGGCTAGAGTTGCGAACAGAGGCCTTATCGTCTGGCAGTTTGGTCGACGGCCTGGCAGAAGCGCGAGATTACCGTGCTCACACGAAGGGCGTGTTTCATGCAGGTGCCAGCCCAAACCCGCCCTCGGGGCGCAAGAGCCCTTCCGCGGGGGGCGGCAAGCGCAAGAAGCAGCTGTCGGCGGCGGCCTCGGAGGCGTTTGGGGCCGAGGAAGAGGAGGAGGTGGTGGAGACGCGCAAGAAGCGCAAGCTGGTGCCCCTGGAGGAGGACGAGAAGCACATGAACACGGAGGAGAAGCGCAAGCACATCAAGAGCCTCATCGACCGCATCCCCACCTCCAAGGAGGAGCTGTTCAACTTCAACTTCGACCGCAGCCTCGTAGACAATGTGAGCAAATACTTTATTTGGGGAAATACATCTCGCTCCGTAAAAATCCGACCGTCTTGACATGGACAGGTCCTGCATGCTTGGAATGGCTGGACACGCCGCAGCCTCTGGGCTTGCCCCTTTGAATTGGGAGGAGTGACCTGTCATCATGGGCGTTCGAGCGCCAGTCGAGACGGCCGTCTCGGCGAATTGGTATCTCTCTCATTGTGCCGGTGACAGACCCCTCCCCCGACGCTGTGCGACAGCGTGAAGAACGTAATCCTCATGTGTCTTCTGGGACGTGAGATGCCCACACTGTTAGGGGAGGATTTGATGCTGTAGGCATGCTATCTAATGCAAATGAATGGCAGTGTACCTGGGTTTCTTTCTCTCCCTGGATGGTTTCGTCTGGATGTGTGTTGAGTTTGACGCTGGTGGGTATAAAAGAGCTAGGAACAGCAACACTGGTCTGAAAATAGAAGGCAGTGCTTTGAAGAGAGTGTTGACTGCACTAGAAACATGTAGCAGACTGGCAGTTGTAGACAAAGTGCAGTTGTGGACGGAGAAGTTTGCCAACCTTGATTGCTTGACTGAATTTGGGAAAGTTCTGTGAAGCAGTATAAACATTAAAGGAGGAGGGCACTTGTTTACAAAGGCATCTGTCGTAGATATTCTAGAAATGTTTCGGACTTTAAGGTTCATTTTTTTACGAACGTGTCGACTACTGGGCCGGTTGATCGACCGTAGTAAAACGGTCTCTCTGTCAGCTTCTTGTTGATACCAAATTAACTGCTCAAACTTTGATATCATACATAAAAGAAAAATTTAGTTATAATGCTGTTTATTGGTTTCCGTTTTCGTTATAATTAACTACAATCGGTGACAGGTGAAAAACGCTTTGGAAGCTCCGCCTCTAGCACGAGCTTTCTACATTTATAGCACCTCACACACGTTCAGCCAAGGCCTGGCAGAGCGTTCTTATCCCCTCACTGCCTATAGTATCGAATTTTCTGCACAAAGCTTGCGTTAACCTTCTGGCCACTTTTTAAGTTCTTTTCAAACACACACTCGATGCTAAGCTAGCATTTACAGTACACGTCATTGCACGACACGTCTCCGTAGACAAGATTCTTGTGCTTTCAGCTTTCGCCGCAGTCGTAGAAGTTTCAAACGCCCGTGGCGGAAGTGAGAGAGAGGTTGGCATTGTAGGAAATCGCGTACCGCCGCCGATTCGCCATTTCCCACGTGGTCCGTCAACGAACCGAGTCCAGCCTGGTTCTTTCACGGGAGCGGGATTCCACTCCCCGTTTATTCGTACAATAAAACACAACACTACAAAACACTCAATCTAAACTACAAATACAAGCTACATTACACAATTATTTACAAATGCACGTTCAGGCTAAAGCTAAACACAAAGGAGGCCCTTAGGCCTCGCGTCCCGCGATATCCTAGATCCGGTCGCCAGCGCCACCCACTTGCCTGCCAGTGCCTGCGTCTCGGTCGCGTCCGGAGTTCTTAGAGGCCTCTTTTGTGTTTAGCCTGAACGTGCATTTGTAAATAACTGTGTAATGTAGCTTGTATTTGTAGTTTAGATTGAGTGTTTTGTAGTGTTGTGTTTTATTGTACGAATAAACGGGGAGTGGAATCCCGCTCCCGTGAAAGAACCAGGCTGGACTCGGTTCGTTGACGGACCACGTGGGAAATGGCGAATCGGCGGCGGTACGCGATTTCCTACAAATGGCGCCCAACGTGGGGCTGGAAGTCCAGTGTCACTGAGAACTGCTCCCCGGCGTCCTGCGTGGCGTCGCGGACGTCCCACAAGGCTCCCCGAGCTGTGGTTCCTGCCGGGGAATACGCTGCCAGAAGACGAGGGGTTCAGCTCAAGCTGGTGTTTGTCCAAACGGCGACTCCTCCTTTCATCCTCTCCCAGAGAGGACCATTCGGTGCACACCAAGTTGCGTCTCGAAGCAGCAGCCGCAGGGGCGATGACGCACAAGATGGGAAAAGTCCAAGGCGTGCGCCCAGCGAGGGAGCAGTACCCCAACACCAACGCCGCACACAAAAAACAAAACAAAAAAAAAAACATTCAAAGCAAAAACAAGAAAAACAAACACTGAGGGTTCCGAGGCACCCTCCCCCCACCGAGTATATATCTCGATGGGCGAGGAGGTTTCTCCTCGCCTGCCACGGGGGCGCCTGCAGCGCCCTCCAGTGGCTAGGAGAGAAAGCGGCGCGTCGGGAGCCGAATTCGAGATCCCAATCGACCCCGCGGCAACACGACCATGTGATCGTGTCGCGGCCAAGATTGGCCAAATGGTTTGATGGGCGCCCTCGTGAATTCACGGTGCGCCATACTCCCCTCTCCTAAAAATCGAAGTACGCCGGAATTCAGACGTACGGCTAGGCTGCTGGGAACACCGTCGCTTTGTTTGGCCTGGAGACCCCCCACACGCACACACACACCGCTGGTCCCATGGGTCGTCCTCACTGAGGTCCATCAGTTCTCCCGAGACCTGGGGTGCGCGGCCAGGCACACTGCTCAAGGACCCCGTTTCCCCGGAGGCCGCCGCCAAGCCGAAGTCGACACAGTTTACGGATCAACTTTGCGCACCGTGTTTCAGGCCCTGATGGACAAGAGGATCCGACCGTGGATCAACAAGAAGATTGTGGAGTACATTGGAGAGGAGGAACCCACCCTGGTGGACTTTATCTGTTCCAAAGTGCTGGCGGGCAGTGCAGCGCAGAGCATACTCAACGATGTCTCTATGGTGGGTGCTCTTCAAAGTATATCGTCGGGCCAATCTTTGCTTTGTACTGCAAGTCCTTTACAAAAACTTCAAAACATGTGCGCAAAGTATTGGTGTTAAGTATGGTCATTAAGCTTTGACCAGCAGTATGATCTTTTTTGCATTGTTCTCCTAACATTGCGCAGTCGGGCCTCGTTAAATTGACCCCATTGATTAAAAAACACTGACATAATTTGAACCGCCAACCCAGTCACGGCAAATGCGAATTGGCCTACGGGAAACGTACGCTTGCACGATAATTTTTTATCAATGTCTCGATTTGCAATATTTCCAACAGCGAATCCGTTGCAACATACGAGTCGGTTCAAGCAAGCGGGTAGCCTTCACTGGCAGCCATATCAGTGTTCACGCAGTCAACTGCATGCCGTCCCGTCGGCGACGGTGTTACGCCGTTGTTTCGAGTTTTCGCCGCCGAGCCAACGAACTATGGTTCCCAATCCGCGTACCTCGCCTTCTTTCAGGTTCTCGACGAGGAAGCGGAAGTCTTTGTGGTGAAAATGTGGCGCCTGCTCATCTACGAAATAGAAGCCAAGAAAGTGGGTCTCGTGAAGTGAGGCCGGACCGGTCCGGGAGCGACGACGCGGCGTGCATCAGGACTTTGTACCGCCTTCTTCCCCTCCTTCTCTGTATTGTGGTACTCCTATCGTTGTCGGTTATTTTTTTACGAAGTACCACCGTCTGTAAATATGGTGTCCCCTCTTTTCCACTTCCCGGGCGTACGTCTTTTTTTTTTTTTTGCCCGGGTAATTTCAACTGCCAGTTACTTTTTTTTTTCTCTCTCTCTCTCTCTTTTTGTATTAATAGAACCGGTTTCTTCGTGCAAAACAGCACAAACATCAATTTCGGCCGCGATGACGGATCGAGGGTCAATCAAGTGTGTCCGTCGTTGCGGCCCCCCAGCTTTTTTCGAATGCGTCACTTTTGGCATGCTTTTAGGGCAAGCTTTCCTGACCCCGCGGTTTCTCGTGCCGCAAGTTCTTAGTTTGTTTTTAACCGACTAAGAAGCACGTAAACTGGTTTTACAGTAGGCGGGTATTGCGCAGATTTGTCTCTACCGTCTCCAAATTCGTTCGGTGAAGGCTCTCCTCCAAGTTGTGATCAGCGCTCGGCAATCTGCAGCGCACGTGAAATAGGATTTTTTTTTTTTTTTCTCTTACGATGTCTGTTGGCGCGGATGCAAGTTTTCTTCCGGGTCTAGTTTCTTGTATATTGAGAACCAAATTTTCTTTTCTCTTCGTCTCTCATTCTGCCCTTTCCTTTTTGCATTTTGTTTGTAATAAAAAAAACAAAAGAGCAGTTGATTTGCGACTGTTTCGGACTGTCTTCGTGAGTTTTCACAAATAAAGCTGGAGTATGTGGAGTCGACAGATTTGTGCTGTGTGCTTATATGGTAGTTCCTTTAGAAGTTGCTGGTGGGATATCCACTCATCTGGTTTTGGGATATTTTCTGCTGGCCTACGGTTGACTTGGTTGCCGTACGGTGATGTCAAGATGTGTTCCTGTTTCTTTAAAAAAAAAATATTTGGAAGTTGCTAGAGGAAAGGAGTGGCTCTTTCAGCCAATGAATGCTTGCAGTTTTGGCCAGTAGTTACCGTGCCCAAAAAAGTGGTCCCTCGATTTCCACCTGTTGATGTCTGTGATCCTCGTGGCGTCTCGGCAGCTGTGGTGGATGTGACGGATGCCTGTTCTGCTGCAGGTCACTATTTCAGCTTGTCGCTGCACGGTACCTCTGGCAGCCTGCAGTTGTGACGACGGCGACACTCACATTCGCTCGTGCTTTTCGCCAGCATTTCTGTGACCAACCGCCAGGGTCGCAACATCCGACAACATCACATTCCAGCTTCTGTGACGTCGTTTGCTGCCACTTTGGGACCACTTCCGATACGTGTGCGGAAGGGCATGCTAACATACGATTTGGAGAAGCGTTCCAGACACCATAGTTTTTAGTCGTAATTAAGCTTAGTATGTCATAATGAGCGGGGTTTACTAAGCGGCACAGCGGGAATCTAACCCCGGACTATGCGATCCGCAGCCCGACTCGAAGAGAAGTGCAAAAAGCTGGACTAAGCAAAATATCCAGAGCCTGCGGTAGCGTGCGAGTGTCGGTGCGCACAGCTGCCTCTACTCGTAGTGTGCTGTGCCTGCAATGCATCCGAAACCACCTCATCCTAACGGATCATAATGCATGACATATTCCGTGCTGTCCGGGTTTACCAGAGTGATCAAGACGAGTTGAAATTTCGTCATTATATCGATTACACGTGATAAAGAAATAGAAAGGAGAAAGATGCTGGGAGAAACGTGCGATTTTCGGGTGCCCGATTCCCACATATTTAATGGCCCAAAGGCTGACGTACACTTTGCGCTTTCCACTTTTGCCCACCTCCACCTTTCCTATATCCTCTCCACTTTTTACGTTGCCCCAACCAATACTGCCCAGAAGAAAAGTTCATAGTGCTGACATTTTGGCGTCGCCAGCGAAGGCCAACGCTGGACAAATTAAAAACGCAGTCAAGTTTGAGCTGAACGTTGACGTGATCGTCGTGTCCAATCTGTGCCCAGCGTTGGCCTTCACTGATGACGCCATCTTGTTCAACCTTGTTCGACGAACTGAGTGCCACGAAGAAGGCGAAATTGACTTCCATTTCTATGGGAAAAAGTGAGTGAATTTTCTCCCTGTGCTCGATTATAAGAAAAATATCCCGAATAATTCATATGTACTAGCTTAAAACATTTCTTAGTTGCACAGACAAAATAATCGATCAGTTACAGCGTTTCTCTTCCAAATGCATTGCATTAAAAACAGTGCTAGGACGGGTTGGTACATATTTATGTGCACTGTTGGACACTGTTAGTGTGAACATGACGTCTGTATTTTTCAGCATGGGGGATATACGTTCCAAACGAATGAAAGACATCTGGAAAACCAAGAGAGGCGGCAATAACTGCAGTAACACTGAATCACCGATTCCCTGAAGGATCAGGGCCGTAACCAGGGGGGGGGGGGGGGGGGGGGGGGTTAGGGAGTTCTGACCCCCCCCCCCCCCCCGAAATTTTTTTCTGGGTATGGCCCTGGTCGGTGCACTGGCAGTCAGCCGATTTTAATCTCCACC